GGGGAAGGAACTGGGAGATACATTGGAGGTGGCTGTACATCAATGATGTAGTTTTGACTTTAATACTGGGCTGTAAACTGGAGGCCCAAACAGGAACAACCTCTCCCAGCAGAGCCAAGAGACACTGAGGCCATGTCGATGAAGTTTAACCTGAAGTCTGGTTTAATCCAGCTCCTACAGAGGGTGAACCCTTCCTTCTCTACGTTCCAGGTTGGGGTGGGTCTGTAAGAAGATGGAATTTACAGAAAGGTGACTCTACGTAGGACCAGAGACAGAAGGAGGCTCAGGAATATTGTCATTGCAAGTGTCCACTATTGGGGGCCTGAGCTGAGTGTGCGGGTCAGCACCGCGCATAGTCCTCTGTGCAGAATCCATGCACCCTACACCAAAAGAGGATGTGAGTCAACTCATTTATGGAGGGACCCTAACTGGAAGTGGCAGAGGCACCAAGAAGGGATAGGCTGCTCCCCAAGGGAGAATTCCCTCGTGGTTTCTGGGTCACTGTGGAGCAATTCCAGGATCCTGAGTTTCCAAGGGTGAGCAGGGGACAAGGTACCAACTTCATTACAGGCCTCACAACTGGCCCCTCATTTCTCATCCTTCCAAAACAACAGGGATCTCGGTTGCCCTGATCTGGGGAGCAATTGAGAGAAAACAGAGATAAATAGCATGAGAAGCTCCTAACCTGGCATGCGTGAGGCAAATGCAGATGGGAAAATAGAAGCATTTGCTCACCCTCTTGAGCTCAGTGGGTTTTTACAGCCAGTCACTGAGCAAGTTGCCAAATTTCCCAGCCAAGTGTGATCCCTCTTTGTGCAGTCACCTTCCTGGCTCTGTGATACATCCACATTTTCACCACCAAACACACATTTCATATTTAATGTAGATGACTGGAATTGTCCTAAAGGACAAGCAGTACCCTGCCCATGAGAGGAGTGTTCACACACATGTCCTCGTGTTCCTTTGGACAGATTCATTTAAGTTGGGCATGAAATACTCAAATACATTGCTGTGGTTAATATCTTGATTGGTCATAGACAGAAACTAAGTTGGAAAAATGTTTAGGATTTTGCCTCTTTTAAGAGATGGTGCAACCAAATATAGGAGGTGCTAAGATGAGTCTTTGCTTATGAGCACTCCCTCATGTCCTGGGCTTAAGCCTTCAGCATACATGAACTCATTTAACCCTCATTTAATTATGAGATGGGTTCTTCTCTTATGACTATTCCCCATTTTCAGATGGAGAATGTGTGGCAAAGAGAGGGTAATATGTGACCAAGATTGTCCAAGTGTTAAGTAGCAGGGCCAGGACTTGAATGTGGGAGGTTTGACCTGAGAGCCTGGGCTCTTAGCCATTGTGCCGTTCCATCTTCATCTCACGGAGGCTGCTGCTTCCAGCAGTCAACCCCTGGGATGTCACTCAATGCCTGTTATTGCTTGAGGGAGCCCAATAAAGGACACCTCATTTCTATGCCTGAGTTTTGAACCAATGGAAGAATGAGACAAAAATGTAAGGCAGGCAGGAGTCCAAAATGCCACATTTATGTTGATGGAAACTGAGATTGACATCTAAATCCCAGAATTAGATAAATTTCATTGCTAACAGTTAGGACTCTAGGGACGGATTGCCTGGATTCAAATCCCAGCTTTACCCTTCACTAACTAGGAGACCTGGAGCAACATACTAATATTTATCTGAGACTCAGTTTCCTCCTTTCTAAAGTGGGACAATAACAGTAATAACCTCACAGGGTTGTTGTGAAGATTAAGTGAATTAATATATGGGAAGCACTTAGAATAGTTATTGGTACGTGGTGAGTTCTCAGTCAAGATTAGCTATTATCTTTACTATTAACCACATAGTCCCAGGTGGCACAGAATGCCTGCATGACTCCCCACGGGCCTGCCTCTGGAAGACTTGCTGCAAGGAGGAGCAGAGAGCAGAAGTCATGCTTCTTGTGGGTAGCTTGCTTCCAAGGGAAAGAAGGAAGACAAGGGCTGGGCTTCTCAGGTAAAGTTCTCTTTATAAACCCACCAAGGGGAGGAGAGAGGCCAGGAATGCTGTGCGACTAAACCTTCCACCACATGGAATGAAACACGTCCCCCCACCCATGACCCCATCCCCACTGTACTGGGCACCAGCCTCCCAGAAGCCCTGTTCTGGAAACCCAGGGATCTGTCATTAAGCAAACCTGGCTTAACAATTGGGAAGTGTTGTATGGTTTGTTTGCTTTCTGATCCTAGAAATAGATCATATAAGGAAAGGCTAGAGGAATCAGATTGTTTGGCCTAGAAACTCAATGCAGGATGCTTCCTAATACAGGAGGAAGGGCAGTGAGGTAGCACTGGTAAGCACATGAGAAGAGATTATAGGTGTGCTGGGGACAGGTGGCCAGAGTCCTTTTCTTTTAAGAGGGAAAGGCTGAAAGTGAAGCTTGTGATTTTAACTAGCATTATAATTGGCCATGAATAATTCTCCCTTTATCATCATCATCATCATTGTAATTGTAATAGATAACACTTGGTTGTCAAAGCAAAATTCAAATTGTTTTTCAGAGATTCTGTCCCTTAGGTAGTAAAAGCAGGAAGGCCTCAATTCACTTGCCTGGTGCTTGTCATCATAAGACATAGTCTCCTTTTCAGACTGCTCAGGCCTGACAAAGGTCACCATATCCAGGGAAGTTCATGGAAAATGGATGTCTCCAAGAAGTGCTTTACATTTCAGAAAGTTCTGAAGTCATTTCAGTTTTTCAATTTCCCTCAACTTGGAACAACTTGTTGTGTGACTGTAAATAAGTCATTTGCCCTTTCTGGACCTTAATCTGTAAGGATGTCACCTGTAAAGTGAAGGGGTGGACCACATCTCTGAGATGCCTTCCAATGCTGACTCCATCTCTGATTCCATATTTCTAATTTATGCTAATGAACCCTATAGGCAGTGTTCCTCTGATCTTAACCCCAAGGAACATATGGGCATTTTATCTGAGAGTGGTCTTTGCTGTCTGGTCCTTTAGTAACCCAAACGATAGAAAATTCAGGATCTTTGTTGTTGGTGACGCTGGTGGTGGGGGCACAATTTGGAATATTCAGGTCTTCTGATGCCCCTCATTCCACACACCGACACTGACAGTATAAGTTTCAGGACGAATCTATTGTCTAGAGCATAACAGGCCCTTAAAACATTTTTATCAATTTTAAATCTAGCTTGAAGACTCAAGTCCACCAATGATTTCACTAAAAACAGTATTTAAGGGTTTTTGGTCTCTCCCCTCCCCGCAATAGTATGAGAAAGGGCTTTTAGGAACTCCCGCCTTGGAACACAGGGCTGTCCTGTCTTGGGGGCCAGTGCCCTCAGATGTCGGTTTTCATTCACCTGCTCTGTGGGCCTGGCCTGTGCTGGGTAAGGGGGCCCAAAGATGAACAGGAATAATCCCTGCCCTTAGAGAGAGGGCAACAGACATGAGAAAGCTTGAAGGAATTGACACCTGAGGAGAGTTTTGGAGAGAGAGCGAGGAAGAGCAAATCAGATAAACACGCGGACAGAAGAGCAAAGGCCTTGAGGTTTGGGAAGACTTGGAACAACGGAGCAGCTGAACGTCCCAGCACTGCTGGTGTGTCAGGATCCAGGGGGAAAGGGGGTGAAGATGAGCCTGGACAGGTAGGCAAGGGCCACCTGGGAAGGGCTGTCTGGATTTGCCCTGAAGGCAGATGGCGAGAGGGGATATCAACGGAAGATATTTCAGCAGGGGAGTAAGATGCCCAAGTATTCCGGTAGCAAGGCAGCGACTGGGCTGGGGAATGAAGTCCTTTGCAGCGTTATCTTTTAAACTGAGGGCCTTGATGGCAATCATGGACCTTAGCAGGCAACCGTCAGGAGAGGAAAAGAGCCCCTGTGGAACACCCAGGGTTGGGTATTCCATCTCAGGTTAATAAAGAAAAACATGGCTAATGAATAGCTCTGGGTCTCAGCCTAACATCATTTCCTCGGGGAGGGTTTCCCTCCCTAGACTAGGTTAGCTCTCGCTGTCCCATGGTCCATAGCACCCTGAACATGGACTGCTGACAGTCGTCACTCTCATTCAATGCCCATCTTCCCCTCAGGACCCCGGGCTGCAAGAGAGCAAGGGTTTTTGTCTTCCTTATTCACTGCTGTCTCCCAGTTGTTTGCTCAACGGGTCTGGCACTAGAAGATGCTCAATCAGTATTTCTTGAATTAAGAATGAGAGTATACTGGAGGCATGATCAGAGAAGGGAGCCAGGGGAATATGATTTTCCTTCTGGTAGATCACTATAAATGAAACCCAGAGGCTGGAAGAGTTCCCTAAAAGAGAAGGGTAAGTTTTAATCCGGGCTCTGTCATGTGCTCACTGGATACATTTCACTCTGGTGTGCCTTGATTTCATCTGTGACGCGAGGTATGTGGACAAAAACGATGGCTGGGTCTCTCCCTCTAATCCTAATATTTTATGCATGAAAAAGTAGTTTTTATCTGCCACTCTCCTCTTTCTTGGGCTGCTGCGTTTCAGAAAGACATGGCCATTGGCAAACTAAAGAAGAACAGCATCCTGATTTTAGCCCGAGAAATTAAAGGAAAGGACTCTTACAAAGATGCAAGATATTTCAATGGAGAGTACAGATCTGGACTGTCTGGAATTTGTTCTGGGAAAGAAATATTTATTTTTACAGGATGAATTAAACTGAGTTCCAATCACTTTTACAAAAAGCAAGATTTTTTTTTTCCTGAAAGAAAGCAAGAGCGAGCTAGAGAATGAGAATCAGCCCTGCCTCCCCCATTCTCCATGTGGATTTTACTGAGATTTGGTGACTATCTGAGACTTGTTCCTCCCCTCGCTACCTCACACTGGAGGACAGGGCCCAGCAGAGCTGCTGCCAGGATCCTTCCCCCAGCGCTCCTGTGAGCAGCTGAGCTGCAGGAGGTGCTGAGTGGGAGGACTTCTCTGTGGGGGAAAAAACCCAACCAGCACCCAGGAGCTACTCACCGGAGGTCTCTTCCAGACGAACTGGATGGGGAACTTCTGGCTATAAAAGAGAGAGGTTTCATCCGGTGGGAACTCAGGGTCCACGTAAAGAACTTTCTTTTCTAGACATTTCTTGTGAAGCTGTTCAAATGTCTTCTCTTTCACTCCAATAATAGGAAAATTACGGCTGATGATGGCTGAATAGATGCCACTTGGGTTTCCGCCCCCAGCCTCAATGGTCTTGCTCTGGGCTGGGCAAGGAACTGGCCCTGGGGACCTGGGCTCAGCCTCTGTCCGTGGGGCCACAGACGCGCTAATGACGGTCGGCATGGCAGGCAACTTTGGAAGGAAAAGGTTTTTTTTTAAGAAAACAAGATACAGCTACCTTCAAGGAAAGGAAGCAACTGCAAAGGGGAAGTTAGAGTGATTCTGTCATCTGAGAGAAAAATGTCCACGTTCAGTTCAAAGTTTAAAGCCCATCAGAAGGTCGTCCAGCTTATATCCATCTTAAAAGCTGAGCTGTGATCCTGAAGCCATGTGTTTTCCTCAGGAAGGAGCAATAAAGCATTTCTGAAGCAATTTTTACTTGGGGGGCTCCTACCAGCAGCATGAATGCCAGAGAGAGAGAAAGAGTGAGGGTTGTGTTTCGGTGCCCTGAAGAAGCTTGAGCCAGGAAAACTAAAAATAGATGTGAAGAAAGATCGTGAGTATGAGAGCAAGAGAGCCTGCAAGGCAGAGGGAGGAGGACCTGGCCAGGGACATTTCTGTGTTGCCATGAAGTGCTGGTGTTGTCAGGAAATGAAAGGGGAATATCTGAGTGAGGTGAACATTGAAAATTAGGCAAGAACTGTTGATGCATTCTTGAATAGGCAGTTATACAGACTGTCGAACTATTGGCCACAAAATTAATGGAAAACAATATTGAAAAAAGCTAGCTGGGGTAAATGTGAGACACTGAATTCTAGGGGAATATTCTGGGCATTTTAGAGAACACGATTTTTACTTTCTAAAACTCTAGGATATCAGAACATCATTCAATATTGGATTCAGCATCTTTTCTAGAAAGAATGTCAGCATTCAGTGGAAATATCTGGGTGGAAAATGCCACTCAAGAGTAGATTTCTCGGTTGAGAGAATCCCTGTCTCTTCTTGCCCACTTGACCTAGCCACCTCTTGTCTCTCCCCACACCCAGAATAAACACTGGGACCAAATCTGCTCCAAAAAGTGCACCTGAGTACAGTAAGTCTTCACTTAACATTGTTGATAGATAGGTTCTTGAAAATTGCTACTTTAAGCAAAATGACATACAGTATAATAAAACTAATTTAACATCAGCTAACTTATATAAACAAGAGTTAAGTTCCTACAGCACATAGTATGTCATTTTGATGAAAGCTGCAGTTTCCAAGAACCTATTGATGATGTTAAGTGAGGACTTACTGTACAGATTACATATTCACGATTCAGCCGTGCCATATTAGGCATCCGAGACAGAAGTTCAGATTGGATACTGAACCAGGTTGGCTGCCAAGTCATGTCTAAGGAGTTGGTTTCAGGGCTCTTAGGTGAAAGCATAAGTGGCTCTGAGGAAGGGAATTGCCTGCCTGGCCTCCACCTTGTCTTCTACCAATAGTAGCTGCTCCCTGAGCCATAAGATGGCCACACCTCAAGTCTAGCAGAGCGGAGGCTTATCTCGGATTGCAGCCACGTCTGTTCCTATGTGACCAGTCTCAACAATCCAAGGTTAGAGGCTATGGGAGAAGGTGGGCAGTGACACGTGACACAGGGAGTACTATGAGGCTCATGATTCCTGGGGTTGCACTTTTGAGGAACTCCATGTCTGGGATAAGCAGGGACCATCAGCCTGGCCTTCTGTCCCTCCAAGAAAATGCCAGGGATCTTTACTAGTCTTGGAGAGGCAGAATAGAGGAGCACAGTCTCTGGAGGCTGACTACCTCACTTCAGAGTCTAGGCTGGCCACTTCCTGCTGTGTTTGTGTTACTTTAGGTGAGTTACCGCCTCCTTTCTTTCTATGTCTCAGTTTTCTCACTTATAAAATGGGTACAATGATAGTCATTCTGTTATTGCGTTGTTGTAAGGATTAAATAAGTTAATTTATAGATGAGGTTGAATAATACATTCACTCATTGATACAAATAGCATTCACTCTATGAGCATTTACTGAATATCTTCCATGTGCACAGGGATAGGTATGACCTGCCCAGGCTCATGTGATCACAGTGTTTCCAATCAGAGGCTTGCCTATGTGCCTGCACTACAAGATCTTCTAAAAAGATTGAATTCCACTCTCAAACTCACCCAGGGCACAGACAGCAAAGTTTGGGTCTCAGCCCAGTGCTCTCTACCACCCTGAAATTCATGGCACTGGCCTCCATTTTGTTGTTTCTGTGTATTTAATTTCCTGTTTGCCCACAAGACTGTGAAAGTGGGACTGGATTCCCATTCTACCCTCCGGGTTAAGCACATAGAAGGCCCTTAATAAACATGTGTTATATATTTGTTGAATGAAATTTTCCCATGTGAAGAGAAATTTCTTACACTTATGGCTTTGCCAATGCAATCAAAGTTTCCTGGCTGGTTTACTTCTGGGGGAGGAGGTGTCTCTGGGCCACACGCCTGCTGAGCTTTCTTCCCTCAGCTGTCTAAGCCAGCTCCATCTGTTAGTAACTAAGAGGTGTGTGTGACAGGGGTGAGCCTCTTGTCACAGCAGAGCAGGGTGGGAATAGCAAACACATAGAGGGCAAGGTGCTATTCATTTGCTCTCCCAATTGTTGTGGATAAAATGTCCTCTCAGATTTGCAGGTCCAAACTCAGGTTTATTCAACAGCACAGCTGTGGAAACCAATGCTATCAGGGAGAAATCCAATCTGAGCTCATGAACCAAGGACAGATAATGAGCATATAAACAGCTGCACATTTCAATTCCCAGAAGCCTCTTCAAGGATGAAGAATTAGTTTTTATAACATATTTCAGCCAAGGTCATGCAATATCTGTGACTGGAATGGTTTCTGCTGCACAACAATGCCAACTAATGTAGTTGCTTATAATTATAGCACCTACCATTCATTAGGTGCCAACTATGAGCTAGCCACTTCGCATAGTGTGCTTTAAAAAAACTTATTTTGAAATAATTTTAGACTTACAAAACAGTTGCAAAGATAGAACTCCTTAGTGTCTCCCAATCTCTGACAACTCCATAGTCTGTCTCTCATGACCCTGACACTTTTGAAATGTACTTATCAAGTATTTTCTAGAATATCCTTCACACTGTGTTTGTCTGATTTTTTCACAGGATTCGACTGGGGTTATGGATTTGGGGGCAGAATATCACAGATGTGACATGCCCTTCTCTTCAAATCATATTTGGGGGTACATGATATTGATGTTTTATTACAGGTAATGTCAACTTTGATCACTTAGCTAAGGTGGTATCTATCAGGTTTGCCCATGGTTATGTCATTATTTTTCCCTTTCCATACACATATTTTTTAATTTGTAGAACTCTGCAGGTTTGATTAATACCATTTTAATATTGAGGAAACTTGAGATATCTGCTGTGTTTTTATAATTAAGTATGGGAAAACTCATAGAATTTTGGAGATTATCTCTTTTCTTTTACAAATGAGGAAACCAAGGCCCAGAGAGGTTAAATGGCATGGCCAAGATCACTCAGCCAGTTTACTGTAGAACCAAACTAGACCTCAGGTCTCCTGATTTCCAGTGAAGAAGTAAATGCATAACTAAGACTCCATTAAGCTGAGTTAGTCATGAGATCTCTGGATTGTCATATATACTTAATAAATAGGCAGGCTCTCCTTCCCCTAGCTCTGATTGGATAGAGGCATCTAAAACCATCGCTTGGCTGGAAACAACATCAAGAAGCAGCTGTCTAATTCTGGCAGGTCTTGCTGTGGCCCTGCAGCCTTTAGCAAGGCTGGCCATAAGACAAGCAGATCTGATATCAGATGCCAATGTCTCCTTTATTTCTCCTAGAGTGCTAGCTATATGGTCTCCACTGTCTGTGGCTAATGTTAGTCTGTTTCCAGCGGAGATACTGATGGCTTCTTACCCGCTGGCCTAGTAAGTTATTTTAGTCTAGAGTGCCCTCTGGAATTATGCTAAGCATTCAGAGAGTTTGGTAGGTGGAAATCTTAAAAGCAGAGTGGAATGCTTAGTATTGTTACAGTATTCCCATTGCCCAGAAGGCTTTCGGTAGGGGGGTTAATGATGAGCTAAAAACCATTCAGCTCCAGATATTTACGTGTTTTTACTTTCTGTTGCCTATCTTTATGATACCCTGATAGTAAAAGGCATGTGAAAAACTAAAGGGGGCCGGGTGCGGTGGCTCATGCCTGTAATCCTAGCTCTCTGGGAGGCCGAGGCGGGTGGATTGTTTGACCTCAGGAGTTCGAAACCAGCCTGAGCAAGAGCGAGACCCCATCTCTACTAAAATTAGAAAGAAATTAATTGGACAACTAAAAATATATAGAAAAAATTAGCCAGGCATGGTGGCGCATGCCTGTAGTCCCAGCTACTCGGGAGGCTGAGGCAGGAGGATCACTTGAGCCCAGGAGTTTGAGGTTGCTGTGAGCTAGGATGACGCCACGGCACTCTAGCCTGGGCAACACAGTGAGCCTCTGTCTCAAAAAAACACAAAACAAACAAACAAAAAACTAAAGGGATTCTGCATATAGACCAAACTCCAGAATTGTGTTTTTCCTAAAACCGAGGAAATTCTTCTATATAATCATAGTCCAACCCTTAAAGTAGGAAAATTACCAAGTAATCAAAAGATTCCCATACAATGTTGCCAATGGTCTCAATAATGCCCTTTACGGGTCCAGAATCCAGCCCAGGATCACACATACCTCATCATGTCTCTTTAGTCTCCTTTCATCTGGAACAGTTCCTCAGACCTGTTTTTCTGGCCTTCATGTTTTGAAGAATATAGGATTGTCCTTCAATTTGAGTTTGTTCTAATGTAACTTTTACTTAGATGAAATCATTCAGTAAACATTTTATCAAAAACATTTCTATGTTGATACATGTAGATTATTATTTTAAATGGCTGCATCATATAACACTGTATGGAAGTGCTATATTTAGCCAATCCTCTGTTAAAGGACATTTAGCTTATTTCCAGTTTTCCACAGTATGAACCACATTACAATTAGTAGCTCTGAGCATTTATCTGATTTATCTGAAGTGGAATTTCTGGGTTAGAATATGAAAATTTAAAATTTTGATACTATTGCCAGAGTGCCTTCCTGAAAGATCATACTTATTTATAATTCTACCAATGAAGCATGAGAGGGCTCATTCCCCACACCAATATCAGGACTGGACATTTTCACTCTTTTTAATCTTGGGCAATCAGGAAAAAAATAATCATTTATTTGATTATTAATGAGGCCAAACATCTTTCATGTGCTTATTTTGTCTGTTTCAGTTTCTTTTGTGAATTACCTTGTCCATTTTTCTGTTGTGCAGTTTCTGTTTTTAAACTGATTTGTCAACTTGTTCCTTGGCATTTAAGTCTTGAAGGAAAGATACACTATGCGTTCATTTTAGAGCTTTGTAAGAATCTGTTGTGAAATAATTCTAATTTCTTACATAAAACCCAGTTTCCTATAAAAACATATCAAGAATTAGCCACAAGGTAACTAAATACCTGTAGGCCAACACAGCCCCACATAGCTCTCTGGTACACTGTTTCAGGAACAGCAGGTGGGTAAAGTGTGAGAAACAGTAACAGGAGAACCATTAAAAACACCCAGATTATATTTCTTACCACTCGTCTCGTCAAATTGTTCCCATATAGATTTGGGCCAAGACAAAGAAGTTCCACACTAACTTACTCTACTAGTTCTGGTTTTGTCCCACCAAAAATATTTTAAATGGAAAACAGATATGCAATAAATGTTGATATAGTTATTAATTATTCAGCTTTAAATGCTAATAAAAACCATCATTTATAGTAGGGAAGAGCACCCGGTTTTCCGGCTCTTATTTTATGTAGCCAAGAGAAATTTGAAGCTGGGAACTATATTGTAGGGTCCTTCCTTTCTCCTGAATTGCCAAACTTATAGAAATAGAGGCAAAGAATTTGCGTGAGTCTATGTGACCTTATAAATGGTGCAGAGTTCAAATCTCAACTGATACAATGAAATGCGTCCACTAGGAAATGCACAATGTTTACTATATTTGGGAAGAGTCCTGTGTCAGAAAAGTAAATCAGAAACAAATATGTTCAATCCTCACTTTTTAATCAATTAAATCCACCAGTTAAGCAAACACAGCCAACAGTTACTGAAAGTCAAGTGTAATGTTGCTCTATCAGATATAAGAGAAATAGAACATACTCTTAAAGAACATACAGTCTAATAGGGGAACAGAGACCTACTTGCAACATTAAGGTACAATCCCTGATGATACTAAGTAGAACACAATTATAAGTGGGGTAGCATTTCAGAGACTGGCATAATCACTGCCAATGGTCATGGGAGAGTAGAGATGAGAAGGTAGTTAGAAAGGCTTCATGGAAAAGTGGGATTTGAGTTGGATGATAAGATTTGCATGGGGGAGGGAGGAGAAGATGCTGCGGCCCAGGGAACAGAAGGCACAGAGGTGGCAGTTGGCAAGTTGCTGAGTGGAGGAAGCCTGGCAAGAAATTGTGTGTCCTGAGGAGTGCTGAAGAGTTAGGGCTGCCCACCAGATGCTGTGGCAGGCAGCAGGGAGTCCCTGGAGTCTCCAGAGCAGGGAACATCATGATGCAACTAGTGTGTTATGTTCTGTCCCATGCCAAGCCATATTGGAGCCTGAGGCAAAAGAAAACTCAGTAATACTGATCCTGTCTTCATTTAAAATTTTGATATTTTGTTCATCATGGGTTTTTTTGCATAAATTTTGACTTTTAAAAATAGTATATCAAAATGTTTGATTATTGCATTTTTGGCACCCCCTTAAATTTTGTGGCTGAGGCAAGTGCTTCACTTGCTTCATTCTAGTCCCACCCTATTTCTGAAGTTCAGTGGTGGTGGGGATGAGGGTATTTCTCTCTCTCTTTTTTTTTTTTGAGACAGGGTCTCCCTCTGTCACCTGGGCTAGAGTGAAATGGCATTATGATAGCTCACTGCAGCTTCAAACTCCTGGGCTCAAGCAATCCTCTTGCCTCAGTCTACCAAGAAGCTGGGACTACAGGCATGTGTCACCATGTCCAGCTGACTTTTCTGTTTTTTTTTAGAGAAGAGGTCTCACTCTTGCTCAGGCTGGTCTCTTAACTCCTGGCCTTAAGCAATCCTCCTGCCTCAGCCTCCCAGAGTGCTGTGTTAGGATTACAGGCATGAGCTCCCAGCCTTATTTCATTATTTTTAATTATAGCCTACTCATCTTATGAATAATCTTTGGTTAGTAGTATATAAAAAAATAATTAAAACAAAGAAATTTGAATTTTAAGAAGATTAATTTGGAACTTTTGAGCTTCAGAAGCATGAAAGAGAGAAGGATACTGTGTGCTCCCAAGTCGATCCCTAGAGGAGAATAACTCAGAAGAGGGTGCACCCAGAAGAGGGTTGTTTTGCCCAGTCTATGCAGGTGAAAGATAATATTTCTCCTTCGTATACGAAACTTAGTTTTGCAGGGTACGAGATTCTAGGCTGGGCATTATTCTATTTGAGAAGAGTGAGAATGGGGCCCCAGTCTCTTCTTGCTTGTAAGATTTGACAGAGACATCCCTAAACACCTGGAGCCAAGAAAAAAAAAAAAAGGAAAGAAAAATGAAACTATTCTCCGAGTCTCTGCATACTGGCTCTGCGTTGGGGTACTCCTTCAACACTTAGCCAGGCCATTTGCAATTCTGCCTTAGCCTTCACTTCTTGCTTACAGGGAACCTAAGGTCAACCCGAAGTGAAAGCTTAGGGTCTTCTCAGGTCTCCTCTGAGCCAGCCCTGGGCACATCATGGCCTTCTAATCCCCTGTTGTGCACAGGAGCTTTTCCCAGCCTTCACTCCCCGTGTATCTCCCTCCCCAGCCTCTTCCTTTCCAGGACTTCCTGTCTCTGCTGGCCCTGACTTTTATCCCTTGCCACAGGGGGCTGCAGCTAGTATATTTGCTTTGAGATCCTTCTGATAAACACAGGCTGGGGAAGTCACTTCAGCCAGGAGAAACAAAGGCCAGCCTATCTGTGATTCTGTGTTTTCACCTGTCCAGCGAAAATCACAATTAAACACACAATCACAATGAATTCAAGTAATTAATTGAGAATTAATTAATTCACAATTAATTTTTTAAATTTTTTTGTTTATTTCAGCATATTAGGTTATGTATATTGCTTTTGCCCCACCCAATTCAGAGCTTCAAGCGTGTCCATCCCCCAGATGGTGCACACGGCACCCATTAGCTGTGTATATCCCTATCCCCTCCTCCCCCCTCCCATCTGCCCGACACCCAATGAATGTTATTACTATATGTGCTCTTAAGTGTTGATCAGTTAATACCAACTTGATGGTGAATACATGTGGTGCTTCTTTTTCCATTCTTGTGATACTTCACTTAGTAGAATGGGCTCCAGCTCTATCCAGGATAATACAAGAGGTACTAGATCACCGTCGTTTTTTGTGGCTGAGTAGAACTCCATGGTATACACACACACACACCCCACATTTTATTAAGCCACTCATGTATTGATGGGCACTTGGGTTGTTTCCACATCTTTGCAATTGTGAATTGTGCTGCTATAAACCTTCTAGTGCAGATGTCTTTTTTATAGAATGTCTTTTGTTCTTTCAGGTAGATGCTGAGTAATGGGATTGCTGGATCAAATGGTACTTCTACTTGTAGCTCTTTGAGGTATCTCCATATTACTTTCCACAGAGGTTGTACTAGTTTGCAGTCCCACCAGCAGTGTATGAGTGTTCCTATCTCTTCGCATCCACACCAACATTTATTGTTTTGGGACTTTGTGATAAAGGCCATTATCGCTGGAGATAAGTGACATCTCACTGTGGTTTTGATTTGCATTTCCCTGATGATTATAGATGTTGAGCATTTTTCCATATAACTGTGGGAGTTCCAGAGGCTGCTGTCCACTTGGAGATCAGCCTTGAGCAGCTCAGCTGCTGCAGCAGCCAGACAGACTCTGCCTCATGGCCTGAGGCAAACTCCGCACCCCCCAACCCCCAAATGGGCCACACAAGTAGGCTTAGTCCACATTAAAGCAAATCCATGCAACCCTGCTCAAGGAGAGGCCACTCTATGGGCCACAGTGCTTACCACAGGGCCATGGCCCAAGAGGCAATGGAAGACTCATGAACCCTATAAATGTCTCAGAGCCATGTGGGTCTGCGAGAAGAGGTGATATTTGACTCAAAGAGTATTGCTAGTATATCTTAAAATATAAAAACCGAAATCTTAAAATTCGAAATCTGTTGTTCATTAGTACACTGGTGACTAATGAAAGATAATGAGCTAGGGAAGTCAATTAGATTGCAGTACAAATCTCAAAAAAAGGCTAAGGGGAGGGTAGAAAGCTGTAGGCAGCTCTCTGCTCATGTCACCAGGGTGCTTCTTTGTTATTTGATGTGGACCTCCCAGTCAGTGCCGATGTTTAGTGAGAGCTTCTTCAGGCTCAGGGTGGCTGTTTTGGCACAATATGTAAAAGCCACAGGCTGATCTTTGCCATCTAAATAGCAAGACAATAAAAGAGAGAGTCTGATGAATATCTAGGAGGGAAAAATATTTTCTTCAAATCTGAAATGTTTTCTGACTCTATCATAAAACCTTATACTCAGGAGTATCCAAATTTTTTTTTTTTTTTTTTTTTACCTTTGCCATTTACCTTTACCATAGGCATTTTAACCTATGAATTGCCATGAATTTTTTAAAACATGAAACACTTCATTGTTTTGAGTGCAAGACTGGTTGAAAAGAAACTGTAAGGAACATCAGTAGGCAAGGAAGGATATAAATGCCATCCTATGCCCTTTCATAAATACCATAAACATGGGTAGGATTCTTCAGGACTTTAGATATCTATAGTTTAAAAAAATATTCAGAGAAGCTAGATATTATTTTGAGTCCCAAATAATTTCCCTTATAAAAATATTAACAGTGAGCACAAAGACCAATTCATGAAGAGAAGCAGGATATCCTCACTCACTTTAGAGACTAGGATATTTGACCTCTACCAGAAAGCACAGAGTTCACTCAAGCTAAGCATATTATATCAGTTTTGGGACTAATCATCTCCTCATTGCAGATACTTCTATGCTTACAAAAACAAATGGTAAGATAAGAATGGACTGTTTCCTCACCAAATGAGTGTGTGGTCACAGAAGATGGCTCCTTCTTGAGGCCTAAGACCAAGATCTCCTCCACCACACACTTGCTGGGATAATGACCCCTCTGGTCAGCAGAACTGTAATAGATACAAATGGTATTAGGAAAAGGAGAGGGATAGGGGTTTGAACTGGTCACCTGGTCAACACCTTCAACCTTCTGAGTTCCCCTCCCACCTTTCCCTATGGAGGCATGATCCATATAGGAGTCATGTTTACTTGGATGAAGAGATAATAAAAGATGACTCTATGCCAAGGGATAGCTAACCAGCAGCCAAACCATTCTCCCTTTAACAAGCCACTGGGGAGAAATCACTAAGGGACACAAAAGTCACAAATGTGACTTCGATATTGAAATCAAATTGTAAGAAATCAGATAATTAATAAATTGGTGAATGGAAGAATGATTTGAATTAATGGGAGCTTAAATTGAATCCTTTTTTTTTTATTTTTTGGTGGGGGGCAGGAAGAAAGTAGAGACAATAAGGAATGGATGTTCATGGTAGAGTGACTGAATATACTCCGCAAATGGTCTTCACCATTCATTGTCTTTAAATAGTACCTTAAAATATCAGCTGTGCATTTAAGGATGCCAAAAGGGTAGCATGATTTATTTAAGAAACCACACAACTGCCATTACCTGTTGATCAAAACACTGGAACAGAATGAAAACTTCCTGTGCAAGAATTGCTTCTGGTGGAGGTATTGGAATGAATGGCCGTCGTCAAGATATAACTCGCCCACTGCAGAACCCTGGAGAGTGAATCACAGATAGAGAATGTGCTTATGTAATAGCTTTATAGGAAACGAATGTCAGCCCCTAAAGTGTAACAACAGGATAAAAAGTTTGTGAAAAATTATGTTTAACAAACCCTTAATATTTAAGCTGCACAAAATAGTCATCATACAAATACCTAATGTGTTCAATACCCAATCACTCCTGAATAGATTAGTGAAATAATATGAACAGGCAAGTCACCTAAGAGGACCACAAAGAGTTAGGCTTTGTTAAAAGAAGTTTAAACTATGGTCAGTGGTGTAAGTGGCTTCCCTGAAAATACTATACCAGAATGTGACAAAGCCAAGAAAGTTCACAGAATGAAAATGGAGTTTAAAAAACATCAGTATATAATGGATGAGATCAACCATCTTTAGAAGATCCTATGAGACTGGTATCTGGTTCCTATTTTTTTTTAGTAGGAGGTCCCCTTTTACATGTCAAACAATGTCACAGCACTCCACATGGCAGCTTGCTGCTATTGACAGTGCTTGTGCTATGGGTCTCTAGTGTCTTCCATTTACTCTGGGGCCTCATATGGTCTTGGCTCATAGTTTGGACCAAGAAGACATGCCTAAGTGAAATAGATGGAAAAGAAAGCTGTAATTTACTTAATTATCTTATAATATTAACATAAATAAGAGTATTAATATTAAAAGAGTAAGAATTTGTGTTTGTTTGGCCCTGTGCTATATTTGGGCAAATGGACAGGAGAGGAGTCTGCTATAGGCCTCGTCAGGCTCAAAAGATCTTCCTTCTCAAAAGGACAAATCAATTCTGGATCCTCCCAGGATTTACCCAAGATTTTAGTTGTTTGAGCCACCTGATGAGAACAGAAGTTATTGGGTGGGGTTGGGGTCCCTGAAATGGTGCATAGACACAGGTACCCTTTCACGGGAGACTGGATTTCAGCGTAATCCACGCGGGCAGGCTGTCTATGGCCTGATGAGCTTTCATGCCAGTAGTAATCAATATTGAGCTGAAGAGCACCAACAGTCACAGTGCCCAAGAAGGACATTTCTATCATTCCCAGATCTCAGAGTTCTCTTAAGAACAATTCCAGGAAGATCAGACGAGCTGGACAATGATTCAGAAATAATTCAAAAACCTTGATTTCTAGGTAAACATCAGAAGCATCTATCTCATAGATGGGGCTCACCACTCTTACATGGTATCACACACTCAAAAGGCTACCTATCACTGTAAAGAGACAGAGTAGAAACAAAAGGGTAACAGATTTCCTAAATACCTTAGTGCTTAGAGCAACCCGGAGTCCATACGGGGAATTTGCCATCCAGCCTGTGGATTTTCCGACAGTTGTCTTCATTGGTACTACACTTCCACCTCGTTGAAACACTGGTATCTATAACAGAGTAGCATGCACAGGGAAGGAGTATTCATATAAGAAAATGTCAAGGTAGAATTTTACAATATTTCATTGTTTAAGATTCACACTCTTTATAAGTACAGGCTCAAGAGCAAAATGAATTGTGGGCATAGAGATGGCAAATGTGGGGGCCCTGGCATGAAAAGGAAAAGAGCTCAAACACGGTCCATTTTTTTTTTTTTTTTGAGACACAGTCTCACTCTGTTGCCTGGGCTAGAGTGCTGTGGCATCATCCTAGCTCACAGCAACCTCAGACTCCTGGGCTCAAGTGATCCTCCTGCCTCAGCCTCCCGGGTAGCTGGGACTACAGGCATGCGCCATCATGCCCGGCTAATTTTTTTTCTATATATTTTTAGCTGTCCAATTAATTTCTTTCTATTTTTTTGGTAGAGACGGGGTCTCGCTCTTGCTCAGGTTGGTCTCGAACTCCTGACCTCAAACAATCCACCCGCCTCGGCCTCCCAGAGTGCTAGGATTACAGGCGTGAGCCACCGTGCCCGGCCAAACATGGTCCATTTTTTTAATTATTAGGGAAACTTCTCACCCTTCACTGATTTATTATCTGTATCTGTCTTTGCTGTTTTTTCTTTTAAGTGATAAATTCTATTCTGCCCATCCTATAAATGGCCTTTCCTATATTTTTAGTTTTCCTATCAATATAATAAACTTGCTTATTTCTAGAGGCTTGCTAAAGAGTGAATCTTTCTGTGTAAGTGGGCCCAGATGTCTGTGTGTGCATGTGTATGTATATAACAGATGGTGGTTTCTTGGTTTGGGGAGGTGACTTGTCCTTACTGCAGCCTATCCTCTCTTGCTCCCTGCTTCTCTGGACCGCTAGGATGACTGACTCAATTCTGAGGGTCAATCTGTGAAACTGCTTCTGTTATGGAAACCACCAAGGATACCTTAAGTGATCCTAACAACAGAGCTGTAGGCATGTCCCATACAAAAGGGACTTCTGAAATGGCATTCCAGGCAGGGAAAGCTCGCTAGGTTTCCTGCATCCTGAAAGGAAGCTGTGGGTCACATGACAGCTTATACTTTGCTGTGAGTCGAGTACGAGCAAGGAGAAGAGGACAAGAACATATATGAAGTTGAGAGTGATGGTGACGTAATTAAGATGCCCCTCTGCTTAACTTGCAGTTGGCAGCAAGAAGTAAAGCACATCCATCACCCCACCACATCCCCTCCCCCTCATTGGCCAATCTCTCTCTTCTTCTTTTTCTTTTTCTTCAAAGAACAAGGTGAATTGCTTGAGGCCAGGAGTTTGAGACCAGCCTGGGCAATATAGTGAGACCCCATCTCTAAAAAAAATTTTTTTTAAAAAATTAGTCAGGCATGGTGGCAAGTGCCTCTAGTCCTCGTTGCTACTCAGGAAGCTGAGGTGGGAGGATTGCTTGAGTCAGGAGTTGGAGGCTGCAATGAGCTATGAGTGAGTCCCTGCACTCCAGCCAAGGTGTTAAGTTAGAGTGCAATGGCCTCTAGAATGGGAGCCTAGACCAAAGGAATGCACCTGGGGGCTCGCCTCAGTTCTGCCACAATCTAGCTGTGACCTTGGACAAGTAATTTAACTTCTTTGAATCTCAGTTTCTTCACCTGTGTGAGAGATTAGAGTAGATGATTGCTAAGGTCTCTTCCAGATCTGAAAAGTTGGTATCTGAAATCATTTTTAACAATGGGGTTGATATTCCCACTGACGATTTAAAAAAAATAACATCGGTATCTGTTTATTAACCTTCACACTACTTAGGGCCTGTGGTAGAGGTTGTGATTCAGCTGCAGGAAGAAACTTCCCTTTAGAAACTCAAGATAGTCTGGATGGGCCACCTTGATTCCAATATCATAACTGATACATTTCCTTGGACCTAGAGACCCAGGGTTATAACTGAAAACTCTTTTTTCTTGACTTGGTCCTGTAGAAGGACATTCTATATGATACATGTGGTGACCAATATGTTTTCTCTGTTTTCAGTGTTATTGTTCTTCTTAGACACACAAATATAAACTATAGGGAAGAGTTGTCTTTGTCCCTGATGTTTCATACCATGAAATCAGAGTATATGTTATTTTTTAACTCTTTTCTTCCCTTACATTTTAATAGCTCTATTGATACAATTCACATGTTATACAATTCACCAATTTAAAGAACACAATTAAACAGTTTTCAGTATGTTCAGAGTCATACAACTATCCCCACAATCAATTTTAAACATTTTCATTTTCACCCCCAAAAGAAATCCTGTACCCATTAGCAGTCACTCCCATTACTTTCCAAACTCTCCCCATGCCCCAGTCCTAGGCAACCACGAATCTACTTTCTGTCTCTATGTGTTATTATGCAGAACACTAACATCCTTGGTTCGTTCTTTTCTTTTTAAAAATTTTTTTAGAGATGGGGTCTCACTATATCATCTAGACTGGTCTCGAACTCCTGGCCTCAAGTGATCCTCCTACTTCAGCCTCTCAAGTAGCAGGGACTATAGGCATAAGCCACTGCACCTGGCCTTGGTTCTTTCTATATAGGAACATATTATGAACTGAATGTTTGTGCCCTCCCCCAAAATTCATATGTTGAATCCCTAATCTACAATGTGACTATATTTGGAGATAGGGCCTTTATAAAGGTAATTAAGGTGAAAAATGAGGTCAGAAGGGTGGGGTCCCGATATGATAGGAACAGTGTTCTTCTAGGAAGAGACATGAGACAGCTTGCTTGCTCTCTCTTTCTGTCCCCCTTTCTCTCTCTCTCTTTGCCATATGACGGCATAGCAAGAAGGGGCAGTCTATAACCTAGGAAGAGGTCCCTCACCAGGAATTGAATCAGCTGACACTTTGGTCTGGGACTTCTAGCCTCCAGATTGTGAGAAAATAAATTTCTGTTGTTTAAGCCTGTGGTCCCCAACTCCTGGGCCACAGCCTGGTGCTGCCCCTCAGCCCCTGCCCTGCCTTCCCTTTCCTGCCTCTTCCCCTCCCACTGTCTTCCTCCACTGCACCCCCACCCCAAGTCCTTGGAAACATTGTCTTCCATGAAACTGTTCCCTATTGCCAAAAAGGGACTGCTCGTTTAAGCTACCCAGTCTGTGGTATGTTGTTATGGCAGCCTGAGCAGACTAATACAGCACAACAGGTAAAAATAATAATCTGAAAATAACTTACAGTGTCCAAGGCTACTGGGATCTTCACAGTACATCCTCCCTCCCAATGAGCAAATGTCTTAGAGTTATACCAGACCTAAAAAGTAACAGACCCCAGTGAAAAAGAGCAACTCTGTTCACAATTTCATTATTCAGTAAAACATCCCCTCATTTGAATTTCAAATAACTGGAAAGCTAAAATAAATATAACTTTAAAAAAATTAAGTAGAAGTTAGGAAGAACATAAGCTTTTAAGAAGATCCCAAAAGACTATGGCTGGTTAATTTAACTAAAATGCCATTCATTTATCCATCTATCTATCCAAAAGTTATTTATTGAACAACTTACCATGTGCCCAGCACTGTGCTAAGTATACATGAGTGAACAGAAAGGACATAGTTTCTGCCCTCATGGATCTTACAGTCCACGTGGCTTATAAAAACTTAATGCTTCTAGTAGTAAAAGAGATGATGAAAATGAGAAAAAAACAACAAAGAAGAGAAGTACAACACAGGCAAATAAATTACAAAAGAGACAGGAGAAAAGGAAAGCATCAGAGGAGGAAATAGATCTGGGAGGAAAACAAATGGAAACTGGGATTACTATTATAGTATCATTTTTTTTACAAAGTACAATTCAGGGATAAGGTTCTTATCTGGGATCTCTATGGAGGGGGTTTAGTTGTCAAAGTACCAAAAAGGTCCCACAAACTAATTTGATGGGATAAACCCTTAAGATATCATCAGAAGCAGCACGCAAACAAAAAACTCCTTTTCTCTCTTCTAGCCTAGTATACTTTCTGGCAGCCACACAGTCAGTCTATTTCGCAAGTTCACCTCCTAGGATTGCCACATGCTTTATATAGCAGGTTTGTGAAGCTGTAGCAAGAGAAGCAATCATAGAACACTCTGGGAAACAGTGTTGAAGGAATATAATACATAGTCACAACAATACACTTACAATGATAATAGATCATGAGTAAAAATTCGTGGCTAAGTTGGAAAGGGAGTCAGTTCCTCTTAAAGCGAACCTACTATTTTGTTGGAATCAACTTGAGAAACTCTCGACAGAAATGTCCAACAGGACCACTTATTTAGTTGTTGTTGAATTTAACATTTTTCTCTGGTTTTTACTTGGTAGGGGAACCTTAGTAAAGAGCCCACAACTTCAGAACTCCAAATTACTGGAGAAACCAAGAGGAAAGACCATCGTTCATGAACATTCTGGAGAAAAGCCTGGTTATTGTCATATCAATAATGACAAGTATAGTCATGGAATGGTAGCCCCTCAAAAAGATACATTCAGGGGCCGGGCGCGGTGGCTCATGCCTGTAATCCTAGCACTCTGGGAGGCTGAGGTGGGAGAATCACTTGAGTCCAGGAGTTTGAGGTTGCTGTGAGTTAGGCTGATGCCACGGCACTCTAGCCTGGGCAACAGAGCAAGACTCTGTCTCAAAATAAATAAATAAATACATAAATAAATAAATAATGAGGTGTTTAAAAAAAAGATATATTCACTTCCTAATTCCTGGAAGGAGTGAAGAGTACCTTCTATGGTCACAGATTTGATTACGTTAGGGAGACTATTACGTTAGGCCTGACTATCCAGTTGGGCCTTAAATGCAACCACAAGTGTCTGTATGAAAGAGAGACAGAAGAGGAGACAGATATACACAGGGGAGAAGGCAATGCAAAGATGAAGGCGAGACTGGAGTGATGTGGCTACCACGCAAGGGATGCCAAGGACTGCCAGCAGCCACCAGAAGCTGGGAGAGAGCATGGAACAGATTCTCCCCTATAGCCTCCAGAAGGAACCAACCCTGCCAACACTTTGAATTTGGACTTCAAGCCTCCAAAACTGTTAGAGAATAAATTTTTGTTGTTTCAAGCCACCAGGTTTGTGGGAATTTATTAAAGCAGTCTCAGGAAACTCACAGAACCACCAAACATGTGCAGCCAGGTTGAGGGAGAGCACTGGTGCTGGATGTGGCCATCTCAATACTTGACAGGTGCTCTGAGCAGTGGGAGTGGCCTGGCTCAGCTACCTCACCACTTGCCTTGACAGGCCAGGACCATCTGACATGGCAGTCTAACACCAGCTCAGTACCGTCCACGGCTCTTCCCCCTGCCTGCTGAAGCCTGTGGTGATGCTCTAGTGCTCAAGGACTCTCTCTAGGGTCTGTCTCCTTCCTGCTCTCCATCCCATACCCTCCTTCCCTAGGCTGGTGCCCCGAATTTCTGCTCTGGCTCTTATCCTGGCTCCTTTGGATACATCTGGGTCTGTTTCTGGTGGCTGCTGCTCTTAGTACCCATAGCTCTCCCCTGTACCCTACCTGGGTTTAGTGCCCTGGGCTCCAGCACGTCCAGGATGATACTTTATACAGTTACAGTAATTCATGAAAATAACTAATAAAATAGCAGAGAAAGCCACCAGGGCATAGAGGGAAGTCATTGTTGTTACTTTTTACCCACTTTGATTAATGTCTTGAGACCAACTTTTGGTACCAAAAACTCAGGATGCAGATAGAGCCAGAACCAAAGAGCAAAGTCTTTTTATACTTATGTTGCCCCACCGAGTTTGATGCCTAATAGTAGACTGAGTATTTCTTCCTATCCCAAGCCTCAGTGTTTGTAAGGAGTCACTTTTACAAGCCAAAGTGTGAAGATAAAAAACCATTCCGATCTTCCGTGGAGTCGTGGAGTTGTCACCTATGCATCTTTTTCCCTGCCTAATCCATGAAGTTTCTTGACCTCTGAGGACAGTGGTCATGACTTACAAGAATCATCAGTTGCTAGTCATTTGGGCTGTGTTCTCGACTGCATGATGAAGAAATCTCTTTCCTAAAAGAAATGAAGGGATTAGGGATACGGGACACATAAGATACATGATTGTCATTACTCTTACCTCATTTGATCCTGGCAGAAACGCATTAACCATGGTGACTTTTGGTTCTGTTACTGGATGAACCAATAAAGCACTTCCTAAAAAATGGAGAAGAAATAAAGTTGAATATCTGCACAGGAGGTCTGAAAACCTCCTTTCCCTTTAATTGAGTGCTAGTTATTGTGGTTTTAAAAACCACTTGATTATGAACTTTGGGAAGGCAGAGGCTGTGGTAATTTGAACCAATGATTCATCAGAGAACTGCATTGTTAGAAAGAGGACAGGTGTTCAAAGAGGTGACTGTATTATCATCTGTCATTAATCTATTTATGGCAGATTGGGATTATAGGAAGGGACCCTGACACAGTCCATTAGTCTCATTTTGTGCATAACTGCAGGTAGCCCAAAAGCACCATTGCACCTCTCCAAGTACTTTGTTGTTTGCTGTGAGTGACGTTGATGATGGCGAGCCCACAACTGTTATCCAGCAATTTGGTCAGTGTGGATACTCAGATCCTCTTGTTTGGGAAGTTTTCATCTAGAAGGCTGCAGTTTTCTTAGAAGCAATCTGTATTATTACTTTTGCTTTGACCTTGGCACCACACATATATAAAATCCATCCATTTATAAATTTGCTCTTTTATTCAGTAAATATTTATTTATTGAGTACCTACTGAATGCTAGGCACTGTGCTAGGCTCCGGGGATACAGTGGCCAATAAAACACGCATGGTCCCTGCCCTCAAGGAGTTTAATGGCAGTGACAACAAATGTTAAAAAATAATTACAAATTAGAGTTAAGACACATGCCAAAAGAGGCAAAAGTACAAAATGGAATAAAAGTTACATAATAGGAGGGCCTGGCTTTGACTAGGGGCAGTAGAATTAGGTATAAGAGAACTAGTAGTCAGGGAAATTTCTACAAAGCTAATAAACTATTCAACTGAAACATAATGATTAGTGAGATTTAAAGAGCTCAGGTTTTTTTGTGTTTTTTTTCCTCCATTTTGGGGTTTCTAATGTTTAGAAATGGGATTCATCTTTTGGGAAACTCTATGTTTAGCCTGGCTTCTTGAGCCCTGTTCCTAAGATGATAAACTTTCATGTTCTGCATTTGATAGTTAATCCTTGTTAAAGAAGAGGTCAACCAAAGAAAAAACCTATTATTGCATATGAAATAAGCTCTTCTGGTTCTTTACTATAACCATGTGGCCTACTTTTTTTCTACTTCCCTCCCCAGTCAGTAGTGGTCTCATAAGGCTTAGAAGAGTGGACTTAGAACAAGAATCCCAAATGATATCCATGAATAGATTTATTTATTTGAGCTTCACAGGAACAATACTGTGAGAAATGCTATACCACAACAGAATAGAGCTATGATCTCACCAATGCATTAGAAATCTTGGTGAAGGAATTTCTTTTATTTTTATTTTTTGGCTTTCTTGGGATTAGGAATTTTTAAAGTGCCCTTATACTAGAGAACATAATAAAAACATAATTACAGTGTTTATCATAACTATAATTAATCAAGAAATTCTCACCCAGCATGTATTCATCTTCTATACCAAAAGTCTCTAATTCATCAGGGAACTCTATCCACAGAGGCCTGGGGAAAGAAAAAAAAATTCTCACTTCAACATCATTCAATGTTTTATTGCAATTCAATCACTTATATTTTAGTTTTATAACTATTCAAAGGAAATTGGAGAATGCCGAAGAGCCAAGACTCTTTTTCATGATTCAAGATTTTATAAGCAATTACTATGATTACTTTAAATTTTTCTTACGTCAAAGAGCTATCTATTAACGCAAATGTTCCAATGAAATATTGAGAATTCTAGTACATGCAATTTTTCATTTGTTGAGTACTAAATACTACTCTAACAGGCAGAATCAGAGCTTTGGTGCAAGTCCAAGTGCCTAACACCTTTGGTGTAAAACAAATTAAATGTTTGTAAGACTATATTTTACAATGATGTTATAACTCTATGTCTTTTCTTCACTCTATCACTGCCTTTCACACATCACTTACTCATTACCAATTTAAATGAAAAGAACTGTTTTTTTTTTTTGTTTTCAACAACTTCAACATTTTTGGAGGGTTGAAAATTTTCCATGTGTTCTTTTTTTTTTTTAATTGTTATTGTTGCACACAAATATCTAGGGGCATTTGGGCTCATAAAAATAACAAAACTTTCAATATCTATGTATTTGGATATAGACTTAATGGTTCTAATTATTTCTCAATTTCATGATGAAAAGGTATTTTTTAAAAAGACATTTTTAGTTTATTCATTAGCCTTTGTAATAATAAATTCCTTTCCTAATGAATGGTAACAAAGCAGTGATCTCAAAACCAGGCTAATGTCTAGAATCACCAGGGAAATTTCTAACAAATATAGATCGCTGGGACCTACTCAAGAAGATTCCTTGCAGGTTTGGAGGTGTGGCCTCAGAATCTGTATTCTTAAAAAGCTTCCCAGGTGATTCTGATCTGAGCAAGTTTAAGAACTGCTGATCCAGAAGTCTTGGTGTTTTATGTATGTCTGTGTGTATTGTTCTCTAACCTAGAGGAGTTGTTTTTTCATATTTTCCCTTCAAAATAGAATTAGTATATATTAATAAATTACACACTAGAAAAATGCTCACCTCAAACTTGGAAGGGTTTAGCCCTAAGGGTGAGATATAGCCTAAGACTGGCAGAATAAGTTATTCTTCATGAAAGGAGGTTAAATACTGAATGAATTCAGTTATGAAGTCGCTTCCTTTTTCTTTGAAATATTTCTATTCTGTTTCCTGTCAAATATTAACACGTTAGTCACAGAGTAGCAGGGGATCCGTCTAGTTTTTGTCTTCTGTGTTCACAACAGCCAGCACCCTGCTCACACTTGGCGCTCAGTAAGCTGACTGAAACTTGATTAAACGCGTAGCTTTTCTTGTTTTCTTTTAGAATCACTGTGTAACAGCCTTCTCTAATCACTGAGAGGATCTTCTGTTACACATTGGTTGCTGGGGCCCCTGAATGGATGAAGCTTTTTTACCTCATGACAGGCTGGGAAGCCACATGTGCGTGGTAGAACAGAGAATACCAATAGGGCAGGAGGGCATAGCGCTCTCTGATGGCTTCGCGGATGAGCCGGGTGTGTTCTTCCCCGAACAGCCAGGGTTCCCGCCGCTTGGCGTTCATGGTGGCATGGCCACGGAAGAAAGGCTGGTAGGCTCCAGCTTGGTACCAACGCACTTGCAGCTCTGTCTCTGGATTCCCAATGAACCCACCTACATCAGCTGGTTAGGCAAAGAAAGTCTGAGTGAGGCAGCTGGGCTTTGAATCAGTGATGCACACAGGTAAAATAAGGCCTTGAAGACTAACAGGAGAAAAGCACTGTGTATGCACTCAACATGACAGGATAAAACTGTGGCCTCAAATATGGGAACACGTGTTACACAGATCTGACAATATGCTCTTTGAATATTCTTTCTTGTCAAAAGGTCAGAGGCTTTACTGCAAGATCAACATTCCTTTATGTTCCTGAACCCAGACAATCCAGAAAATGCAAAATGGCTACCTGATTAAATAAGCGTGTGTGTGTGTGTGTGTGTGTGTGTGTGTGTGTGTGTGTGTGTGTGTGTGTTGGGGGAAGGGGGCTGGCAATTGATTTCCTTTGAAAGCAACAGCTGAACTAAGATAAAAATAGAACTAAAGAGAAGCAGAAAATCATAATTAGAGGTTTAGATAGGATTTCATGCTGAGCCCTTGAGCTCATGAAATGGATATGTGTATTCCTTGTATTATATGTGGACCAATGCCATAAAAACACATATATCAAAAAAGTGATATTAATTTGCTTCTACTCCTACAGAAAACAAGCAGCAGCTGGAACTACAGCCATACCGGGTACCTTCCATATTGAGATCTCTTATCTGCAGGGAAGGCAGTCCATCAGAAAATCTTATTTTAACAAAACTGATCTTTTCCAAGAGCATTTGTTTTTATTTAAACAAAGTTAAAATATGTCATAGAATTTTAAATCTGCTGAGAAGAAAGAGTTTCTGTAAGGCTGACTTCTGATTTGCTAAATTCTTTGTAGTTCTATTTTTCTCACTGTCAAGAAGAAAAGATATGTGTCAAGAAGAGAAATTCAGTTTTCAAGAGTGCCTAAGGGGGAAGCGATAAGAGGATGAGTATCTTGGAAGAAGCACTCTGGCTCCCTTTTTGAAAACTTGATTTCATATCCTCAATACAGACAAGACATAAAAAGCTCTGAGGTATCCCATTCACTCTCCTCTCTAATCTGTTCCCCTTTACTTTCTTGCATTTTCTTTTTCCCACATTTATCCTTGGCCAAAACAGTAATAAGAAGGGATTTGTGACCAGCTTTTACGAAAACGCCCTCGCTTTTTTTGCACTTCAAGACTCAGAATAGCATTCATCTTACCTCCACAAAAAGAGATCCCGGTAATGCTGAGAGTGAGTAACATTGGGATGGAAATTTTCAGGTAACTCCATTCTGCTGTGTTGTCACCTGTCCACACAGCACCTTTGGTCACCAATAACAAGGTATTTAAAAAAAATCACAAATCAGCCCATGCATTCAATTTCATATTTAGATTTCTTATTTGTAAAAGACAAGTTAATAAAAGGAAAACAGATTTTTCACCTTAAATAAATCCTCATTTTCTATACTCAAAATGTATCAATTTTCTAATGTGAAAAAGTTATCAGAATCCACAAACATGGATTCTATGAAAATATTCTGAATTGTACTTGCACTTATTTTTTAAGTATAATTGATCTGATTATAGGAGGAACATTAAAAAAATCAACTTCGAGATATAATTTACATCCAATAAATGTACCTCTTTTAAGTGAAGAATTTGATGAGTTTTGAAAAATGTATATGTCCATGTAACCACCACCACAGGCAAGGCATAGAACATTTCCATAACTATGAAAGTTTCCTTGGACTTCTTTGCAGTCAATAATTCCCCCCGCCAACTTAAGCCAATTATTGATTTAATTTCTATGAGTATAGATTAGTTCCTTCTAGAATTTCAGATAAATGGAAATATAATATATACTCTTTTGTGTTCCAGCATTCTTTTCACTCAGCATAATGTTGTAGTTTACTCCTTTTCATTTGCTGAGTAGTATTCCATGACATGGGTATATCATGAGTTGTTTATCCATTCACCTATTAATGGACATATGGATTCTTTCCAGGATTTTGGCTATTATAAATAAAGGTGCTATAAATATTTGTGTACAGATTTTTGTGTGACATATTTTCATTTCTCTTTGGATATATCTCTGGAAGTGGGTCTTACATTCAGTGTATGTTAAATACTTTAAGAAACTTTCAAACTGTTTAGCAAAGAGGTTGTACCATTTTACATTTTCAACAGCAAAGTATGACAGTACCAGTCTTTTTAATTCTAGCCACTCTAATGGGTATGTAGTGGTGTCTCCATGTGGTTTTAATTTATATTTCCCTAATGACTAGTAATGTGGAGTATTTCTTCATGTGTTTATGGATCATATGTCTTCTTCTGTAAAGTATGTATTCAAACCTTCTCATTTTTTTTTTTTGAGACAGAGTCTCACTCTTTTGCCCGGGCTAGAGTGAGTGCCGTGGCGTCAGCCTTAGTTCACAGCAACCTCAGACTCCTGGGCTCAAGTGATCCTTCTGCCTCAGCCTCCCGAGTAGCTGGGATTACAGGCATGTGCCACCATGCTCGGCTAATTTTTTCTATATAGTTTTAATTGTCCAATTAATTTCTTTCCATTTTTAGTAGAGACAGGGTCTCGTTCTTGCTCAGGCTGGTTTCGAACTCCTGAGCTCAAACAATCTGCCTGCCTCGGCCTCCCAGAGTGCTAGGATTACAGGTGTGAGCCACCGCGCCCGGCAAACCTTCTCATTTTTTAAAGTAGGTTGTCTGTCTTCTTATTATGAGTTGTAAAAGTTCTTTATATAATCTGGATACAAATCCTTTGACATATATATAAGTATATTGCAAATATTTTTCCCAGGCTGGGGATTGCCTTTTCATTTTCTTACCAATGTCTTTCAAAGGGCAGAGATTTTAAATTTTGATGAAATCTAATTTATCTTTTTTTCCTTTTACGGCTTATGCTTTTTGTGTTCTATCCAAGAAATCTTTGCCTATTTCAAACCCACAAATATTCTCCTATGTTTTCTTCTAGAAGTTTTATTATTTTTATTTTTAGTTTTTATAACTTAGATCTGTATACATTCCATTTTGAGTTAATTTTTGAATACGGTGTGTGGTAAGGATGTAGGTTGATTTTTTTTTTTTTCCATACAGATATCCAGTTGTTTCAGAACCATCTAATGAAAAAAAACTACCATTTTTCCATTGAATTGCCTTGGAAACTCCATTGCAAATCAATTGATCACTTATGTGTTAGACTCTCTTGATTCTTTATTCTGTTCCACTGATCTATAAAACTATTTCCTTCCACTTCTATGCCCATGAAGTGGTGCAGTTCACATAGGGCAGACATAATAACAATACATAACATTTATTGAGCCCTTCCTGAGCCATGTGTTATGCTAAGTACTTTGCTTGGATTATCTAACTTAGTCATCACAACAACCTTTATCAGGTAAACACCATTATTAACTCCATTTTATAGATGAGGGAAATATGGCAAACAGGAAATAGATAAGCTACCCAGAATTATACAGTTATTAAGTAGTAGAGGTAGGATTTGAGCCCAGGAAGTCTGATGCCAAAGCCAGTGTTCTTGTTCACTGTATAGGTGATAAGAATTTGTGATGATACATTATATACCACTAAAGAGATCCATAAAAGGAAAAATCTTATTTTACTAAACCAAGATTACTCCTGAAGGATTTTTATTTATTTTCTACCAAAATAGTTTTGGTAGCTATTTTTGCTTTAATCTTTCATAGAAATTTTAGGCTGTCCTATGTCCTATTTTGAAAAGAAAAATGTTTTCAAGGGATTGCTCTTTTAAAAAAGACTCTAATAATTTCTCCTAGACTCCAAATAAGATATGTACATATCTACATAATGATTTTGAAATCCATATGGCAACATGTTCATCTTCCATGAATCTGCCTGTAATCTGAACACTTTGGGAGGCTGAGGCAGGAGGATTGCTTGAGCACCGGAGTTCAAGATCAGCCTGGGCAACATTGTGAGGACCCTGTCTCTATACAAAATAAAAAAAATCAGCCAGGCCTGGTGGCACATGCCTAAAGTCCCAGCTACTCAAGAGGTTGAGGCAGGACGATCATCTGAGCCCAGGAACTCCAGGTTACAGTGAGCTATGATTGGGCCACTTTACTCCAGTCTGGGCAACAGAGTAAGACCCTGTCTCTGAAAAAAAATAATAAAAATAAAAATAAATAAGAAAGAAAGTTCATGTAGACATGCAGATGTTTTTATGTCTCATCTCTGGCCATTAGCCTCAACATATGATTTAACAAAATAGTGTTCCTTGTAATTAATGCCTTGCTACACAACGAGGCAAAGCTGATAGCGTCACACAGAAGACTAGGCAGTAGGCCAAAATTTAGGAAATCAAAGATAACTTAATATTCACAGCTTCTGTTTTCTTTTTTAACTGCTGCTGGTAAATATTTTCATTAAAATACTTCTTTTAGTGAATAAAATGATACTTATAGAGAATTTGGAAAATAAAGACAGGTAAAAGAAGAAAACTAAAATTACTCATAATCGGCCAGGTACAGTGGCTCACACCTGTAATCCTAACACTCTGGGAGGGCAAGGCTGGAGGATTGCTTGAGCTCAGGAATTCAAAGATCAGCCTGAGCAAGAGTAAGACTTCGTCTCTACTTAAAATAGAAAAATTAGCCAGGCATGGTGGCACATGCCTGGGGTCCCAGCTACTCGGAGGCTGAGGCAGGAGGATTGCTAGAACCCAGGAGTTTGAAGTTGCAGTGAGCCATGATGACACCACTGCATTCTAGCCCAGGCAACAGAGAGATCCTGTCTCAAAAAAATAAACAAATAAATAAAATCACTCATAATCACCAAGGTACTAAATTTTCTTATATTTACCTGTCTACCTACCTACTTATTAATTTAAATTACTACCTTACATTTATTTTTTACAAAATTGGGATAATAAGAAATATGACCTAGAATTTCATAGATCAGTAGGGTGACTACAGTAAATATTAATCAATTGTACATTTCAATATAGCTAGAAGAGAATAATTTGAATATTCCTAGTGTAAAGAAAAGATAAATATTTAAAGTAATAGATATCCCAATTACCCGGATTTGATTATATAAATGTGTCAAATTATCACATGTAATTCAAAAATATGTACATTTAATATGTATCAATAGAAAAATTGGGATAATACATAAACACTTAGGCTTTTTTTCCCCATTTATCATGATCTCATAAACATTTTCTCATGCAAATAAAGCTACCATTTTAAACAGCCTCATATCATATAGCTCCACCATACTTTTACAACTCTTCCCTTATTGTCACATATTTAGCTTTTCTTTCTTTCTTTCCCTCCCTCCCTTCCTCCTTCCTTCCTATTTCTTTTCTTCTTTCCTTCTCTTTCTCTCTCTCCCTCCCTCCCTCCCTCCCTCTCCTTTTCTTTCTCTTTCTTTTGTTTCAAGCACTAGTGCTGTGATAAGCTCTCTGTACAAGAATCTTTGCCTGAGATGATAATATTTTGGCCTTTTCCAAAGTACTGCAGGGGCTGGTTTTCAGAGGTAGAATGGGAGGCCTAATAATGTCCACGGTATAGTAAGGGCTAGATTCTTCAAAGTAGGACCTAAGCTCTCAGTTGTTTATGCAAGGCCAGGGGACTTAAAATAGCCTTCCTGCCACAGGATGGTTAAGTTGAACTAGATCTGCATTAGCTAGTAAACTGGATCCAGTTATAGATGACCCTGACCACAAGCAACAGCCAGGTCTATTTTAAGCCACATTGCTAAGTGGAACAGGTGGTTAATGGAATGTGTCAGAGGTGTATTTCCCTGGTTTTGATAAATCAAAGAGACAGGATCAGAGATGACCATCCCAGCAGACTGAATACTTTGAAGTCACTCTCCCTACAAACTAAGTGGCCATTTCTTCTGTGGGAAACAACTATCAAAATTGATTAAAATTGCTTTAGTCAGTCTTGTAGGACAAAATGCATATTTCAGGGCACATCACTGTCTAAAATCAAAGGCTTGACCAATGGCTATTGAAAAGGAAACATCAAAACAACAGCAGCATATACCATAAATGATTTAAAAAAAAGAGAGACAAAAAAATAAATTAATTAAAAAAAGAGAGACAGGTTGCTACGTTGTATTTTTCAGTCTAAGATGAGCCATTTCTTACCATACTTTTGTGATCCAGCAAAGAAAGACCGTGTCAGAACAAAGGGTCTCTCCTTCCCTTTAGATCGTTTTATCAGTCCTTCTGCAGTAGCCATTTGCTATAAAGTCAAAGGAGAAGAATTTCAATGGATGATTGGATTAGGGCATTGTGAAGACATCCCCAAAGCTATCTAACATGCAAAAAGTAAATAGTAGATATGAATGTGAAATGGAAAATATTAAATCCATCAGGCCGGGTGGGGTGGCTCACACGTGTAATCCTAGCACTCTAGGAGGCTAAGGCGGGAGGATTGCTTGTGGTCAGGAGTTCAAGACCAGCCTCAGCAAAAGCGAGACCCCATCTTTACTAAAAATAGAAAGAAATTAGCTGGACAACTAAAAATAGAAAAAATTAGCCAGGTATGGTGGCGCACGCCTGTAGTCCCAGCTATTCGGGAGGCTAAGGCAGTAGGATTATTTGTGCACAGGAGTTTGAGGTTGCTGTGAGCTGGGCTGGCACTCTAGCTCAGGCAACAGAGTGAGACTCTGTCTCAAAAAAAAAAAAATCCATCAAATAATTTTTATGATTTAATGACACTTCTCTAAATTATCCTGTTAAAAGAATGAAAAAATTTCTTTGATTAACAAGAGCAATGAAATAATAGTAAACAAGAAGCTAGCATTTATTTGGTACTTACAATAGTATTTTATAATATTTTTTCATATAATATACACAACCACTTCTGAGACACATAGTTTTCATCGGTTAAAAAGAAAAATGAGATTCATAGAGGTTAAGTTACTGGCCTTGGCCCATATAAGAAAATTCTCTGACTAAAAGCAGCTTGCAGTTATAGTAACAGGTTGTTAGGGAAGCAAACACATACTATTTGAAAACTGTGCTATATCTAGCCAGCAGCTCCCATTGGAAAATACCAATTGATGAGAGGGCCATAGGAATATAGTCACATTTTGAAAATAATAAAGAACCATGGGTATAAATTAGGGCAAGTGACTGCCAAATCTTTTGGATGTAACTGGCAAATGAAAGAAAATTCTATCACCTTTATTGAGAAGGCAAAGTACTTAAGGGAGGCTTTCTACATTTAAAAAAATATATCTGTGGGCCGGGCGCAGTGGCTCACGCCTGTAATCCTAGCACTCTGGGAGGCCGAGGTGGGCGGATTGTTTGAGCTTAGGAGTTTGAAACCAGCCTGAGCAAGAGCGAGACCCTGTCTCTACTAAAAATAGAAAGAAATTAATCGGACAACTAAAAATATATAGAAAAAATTAGCCGGGCATGGTGGCGCATGCCTGTAGTCCCAGCTACTCGGGAGGCTGAGGCAGAAGGATTGTTTGAGCCCAGGAATGTGAGGTTGCTGTGAGCTAGGATGACGCCACGGCATTTACTCTAGCCTGGGCAAAAGAGTGAGACTGTCTCAAAAAAAAAAAAAAAAAGAAAAATGTATCTGTGTTCTAAATCTTGCTCCCCTGGTATGAATGTAAGACTTGCTGTATTTAGATATTTGTGAAATTTTAAAAGGTTTGTTTTAATTACTTTTGTTTACATATTTATACACCGCCTACATCAATAAAAGTTTGAAGTCATATTCCGTGAGTGCCATTTACTCATGGCTCCTACCAAGGTAGATGTTTCTATGTTATCATTAATAGTATCATTAATCATACTATTTTAAAGTTCATCAAGTTCATTATGGAAGGAAAAGAAGCAGAGAGAAGTAATAAAAAGTCTTGGTTGGGCATGGTGGCTCATGCCTGTAATCCCAGCATTTTGGGAGGCCAAGGTGGGAAGGTTGTTTGAAGCCAGGAATTTGTGACCAACATGGGCAACACAGTGAGATCCCATCTCTACACACACAAAAAGTCTTGTACAGGCTACTACCTAAGACTCATTGCAATTGTCAGAAAAGACACACAAAGAGAAATGAACAGTATAATATAGCTATTACAAAGCAAATGACTTTCAGCCCAAAAGGCAGGTTACGTGAGTCCAGCTGACTTCCTTTTGGACGTCTTACCTGATAAAAACCATAGATGTTATGAAGTTCTCTGTGCTCCCAATTGCCGTGATGAATGGCATTCTTCTGCATGGTTTGCTCTGGCCCTCTAAAGACAGAGGGCTCATTCATATCATTCCATACGAAGAGGATGTCTGTAGATCCCTACGAAGTAAATCTTAATAATAATATTATTATTATAATAATATTTCCACATTGATGATGTTTATATGATAGCTGTCCACATCCCCCTTTCCTACCCCACTTAATTAATTTATTATGTTTATTATCTATGGTCTGTCCTTTGCTCTACTGCTAGATTATAAGCTCCACAGAGCAAGGAATTTTGTCTGTTTTGTTCATTAATAAATCCCAAACACCTAGAATGGTACCTGGCCCACAGAAAGTTTTTTTTTTTTTTGGTTTTGAGACAGAGTCTCACTCTGTTGCCCAGGCTAGACTGCCGTGGCATCAGCCTAGCTCACAGCAACCTCAAACTCCTGGGTTCAAGCGATCCTCCTGCCTCAGCCTCCCGAGTAGCTGGGACTACAGGCATGTGCCAGCATGCCCGGCTAAGTTTTTCTATATATTTTCAGTTGTCCAGCTAATTTTCTTCTATTTTTAGTAGAGACGGGGTCTCTCTCTTGCTCAGGCTGGTCTCGAACTCCTGAGCTCAAACGATCCTCCTGCCTTGGCCTCCCAGAGTGCTAGGATTATAGGCGTGAGCCACCGCACCCGGCCCCACAGAAAGTTCTTAATAAATATTTGTTGATGAATGAAAGAATGCTGCACCATACAGTCTGTGAAATATATATTCTTTGGCAAGTTCACTCTAAGATCTCCCAGGAAAACCCCTACAGGAAAGCTTATGAATGTTCACAATTAGGCTCTTTATCATCCATCGTGTGCTACAACTCTTAATTAAGGGCAACTATACCCATATATGACAAGATTCTATCTTCTATTAAAAATACTTTAAAAGTTAGCATGATCTATAGTTTGTGTTCTACACAGAATTGTTCAATTTAGAGTGGGAAGGGATATGAGTCATCTAGTTAACATGGTGTTGAAATCCCTTTTATAGAATCCCTGGTCTCTCAGCATTTGACTGAATAGCTAAAATCACAGAGAGCCCCTCAGACAGCTCATTCCACTATTTTCTCAAAGGCCTGCTCCTTGTAACATTCTCCTCACAGGGCCTACCTAGCTTGCCTTCTGGGACACATGGAATACATCTGCCTGGCCCACAGAAGAGATAGTCTTTCAAATGCCTGGAGGTGGCTTACTTGTTTTCTTTTGACTGTCACCATGGCAGAGTTGAGTAATTGAAAAGGAGACCTCATGGCCTGCAAAGTTGGGAATATTTACTATCTGGCTCTTTACCAAAAAAGTTTGTCAATCCCTTAGGGACAGTTAAGGCAGTCAAATATTTGGAAACCATATAGCTTTGCTCATAGAAGTAGTACTTGTGTTTAGAAATAGTTGAAGGTAAAGAGTCAAAAAAAAACAAGTCACCTGTGGGATTAGCTTTAATTATATTCCAACTTCACAGGGTTATTGTGAAGATGAATGGTATAATACACGTGAAGTGCTTGACACATAGCAAATGCTCAGTTTGTACTAGGCCTCATCATCATCATCATCATAATTGGTTGAAAACAGTTCTCCAGATGTGTTCTCTCTGTGGTTCTTATAAGATTTTTTTAATAATTATCATTATGTTTCACTTTTAATGACATATTTGTAAGATATTTTCACATGCATCATCACCTTTAAGTAATAGTTATAGAATTCTATTTTATAAAAAAATATATAGTCATTTGAAAATATAATAAATCTCTGTTATAAAGTACTTTGATATATCACAGAGTCTACTATACTAGGGGTCAAAATCACAGCTTTTGTGCACTTGGTAATGCATATGGCAGCTCTCCCAGCACTAACAAAATCTGTAGTGTGGTGGCCATCCATGCCTTTTCATATAAGCACTGTATATCAAGAACTACTCGATGAAGCAGAATAGTTCTATTCAATCACTTTTTTTCCTTTTTTCACACTTTCAGGTAAGCAGAAAAGAGCAAAAGAATAAAAACCAACCTGATAAACAGGGAAAGCAAAAAGACTTGAATACCACTCTCTGACCTTGGGATTGGTGAAATCCAGGTAAGAGGAGAGACCTGTGGAGGCAGAACAGTAGACAGCCTGTTAAGAACAGTGGTCCTCACAGCAAGATGTTGTAAAGAAGACATCAGATATGAGAGCTGGGAAATCAATGGGCACCTTACATCACAAATAAAAGTTAACTGACAGAGGCATGGTCTGGTGAGAAGTGAATGAAAGCAATGCCACAGTGACAATCACTAGACCTTTCAACACCAGATGCTCAGGGGAATGCAATGAGTAAGCATCAAGATGGAGCCTATCCCTCACTAATGGCTCAAGACAGCCCAAGTAAGAACGACAAATATGCTGCAGTGGATCCTTGGCTCTTAAAGAGAATAGAGAAGTGTGTTCAAGCGGTGTAAGGGGAAAAAAGAAAGGCGTGGTGTTTCTCTACAGTGCATGTGATAGAGTGCTATGGTAGAATGGGGATTTCCTTTTGCCCTTGGGGAGTTTCTACCAAGCCTTTAAACTAATAACTTTTGAAATGAAAAATCCATAGTTGCCAGATTCACTGAGGTCATTCATGAAAGGCAGGGAAGTCAAAACCTATGGGCTAAAGGGGCAAAGAGCAATCACAAGGAGAGAGCCTATAGGATACCTTTTTATTTCTTTCTCCCCCTCCCCTTTTCTCATTCCCTCACTTTTTATCTCTATCTACTTAGAGAAATAGCATGTCACTGAGGTTTGCTTGTTTTTCATTCAATTGCTTTTTTTCTTTTTTTTAATTTTTTAACTTTTTTTTTTTTAGAGATGGGGTCTCGCTTTTGCTTAGGCTGGTCCCGAACTCCTGAGCTCAAATGATCCTCCTGCCTTGGCCTCCCAGAGTGCTAGGATTTACAGGCATGAGCCATTGTGCCCAGCCTCATTCGATTATTGATTGATAAATATATACAAAGCAGACTATACCAGGTGTTATGAAAGATACAAAAGAAGGCAATACTATCTCTTCCTTTTAAAACACAGCTAGAGGAACAAGAGATATCTACAAGGAACGAGAATGACAGCTATGCAACCTTCATTGATTGGGACTGAATAGGTGGAAATAATAGTGTATAAAGTGATTTCATACCAGGCCAGCAAACCCCTTCGAAGTCTCCCCCTTCATGATTCCTCACAAAGAATCCCTGTTCTTTGGCCTTAGTGTACACTGAGTAGTCAGGATCAATCTTGATATGGGGGTCACTGATGACCACAAGCTGTCAGGACACAAAGGTGTGAAGATCTCATCAGTTTTATAGGAGACATTATGTTCACTTCCATGTTCATTTGTATGTTTTTACCATAGTTTTAGGGTTCAAATTTTACTCAGAAACAACTATAACTAGTATTAAAATATTTCAGATACCAGTAAAACCCTATAATCTTTCATGTGCTTATGAAAATTTCAATTGATACCAAAACCAGGCCAATGCTTTTATAATTATTGCTGCCTAACCAATATGTGCTCTTAAGATGGCATTTACTAAGCTTCTGTCCATAATGTTGGATGTTGGATACTGTACATAAAGGATTAAGTAGGCAGGGTGCCTGCTCCCTAGACATTTAGAGGTTATGATAAGACTGATATAAGCAAACATTAATGACACAAAGAGAATAACATGTTAAAAACAAAGAGAACCCCTGTATGCCCAATGGTACAGGCATATTAGAAAGGTCTGAGAAAAGTTGTGAGCCATAGCTCCATGCCCAGCCTTTCAAATACCATCACTTCCACCCAGTTTAGGGCCTCAATACCACTTAATTTGGCTAGAACAACCTTATAATCCATCCTTCCTTCTTTCCTGCCTCCCTCCCTCCTTCCTTTCCCTTCCCTTACCCTTCCCTTCCCCCCTCCCTTCCTTCCTTAATGAAACAGTCTTGTTATATTGCCCAGGCTGGTCTCACACTCCTGGCCTGAAGCAATCCTTCTGCCTTGGCTGCCTGAATAGCTGGGACTACAGGTGTGTGCCACTGTGCCTGGTCCTTATCTCTATTCTAATCCATCCTACATACTAAAGTTTAATTCTTCATTGCTCAAAAACTTCCTTAAATTTTAAATTGTGGTGAAATATATGTAACACAAAATTTACCATGTTAGCCATTTTTAAGTATACAGTTCAGTAGTGTTAAGTATGTACATTCATGTTGTTTTGCAACTAATCTCCAGAACTCTTTTCATCTTGCAAAACTAAAACTCTATACCCATTAAACAATAATTCCCCATTCCCTCCTTCCAGCCCCTGGCAACCACCATTCTACTTTCTGTCTCTATGAATTTGACTACTTCATTTATTTCAGATTAGTGGAATCATACAATATTTGTCTTTTTGTGAATGGTTTATTTCATTTAACACATGTCCTCAAGGTTCATCCATGTTGTAGCATGTATTAGAATTTCCTTCCTTTTTCAGGCTGAATAATATTCTGTTGTATGCATACACCACATTTTGTTTATCTATTCATCTGTTCATGGACCCACCTTTTGGCTACTGTGACTAATGCTGCTATGAACATGGGTATGCAAATATCTGTTCAAGAGCCTGCTTTCAATTTCTGTGGGTATATACCCAAAAGTGGAATTGCTGGATCATACGATAATTCTATTTTTAATTTTTTGAGGAACTGCCATACTTCTTTCTACATCAGCTGCACCATTTTACATTCCCACCAATAGTGCACAGATGTTCCAATTTCTCCACATCCTTGCAACACTTATTATTTTCTGCTTTTTAAAATAGTAGCCACCCTAATAGTGTAAAGTGGTATTTCATTGTAGTTTTGATTTGCATTTCCCTAATGATTAGTATTGTTGAGTATCTTCTCATGTGCTTGTTGAATTTGTACCTTCTTTGGAGAAATGTCTATTCAAGTTCTTTGCCCATTTTTCAATTGTTTGTTTTCTTGTTGTTGAGTTGTAGGAGTTTGTCATATATTCCGGATATTAACCCCTTATTCAAAAACTTTTAATGTCTCCAAATGCATACAAAGCAGCCTATGAAAAGGTCCCAACCTTTCTGGTCAGATCCCCCGCTACTCAAAACTTCCCATTCCTTGTTTTTCTGTCAAACCAGCATGTACACTATTTTCCAAACACCCCCACGTGATCCCTCCTCTGGCTGCATTGCCCTCTCCTCTCTCCCGGCTTCTCTACTAGTTAGAGACTCGTCCTTCAGGGCTCATCTAAAAGGCACCTCCTCTAAGGCTGGGTGCGGTGGTTCACGCCTCTAATCCTAACACTCTGGGAGGCTGAGGCAGGAGGATTGCTTGAGCTCAGGAGCTTGAGACCAGCCTGAGTGAGAGTAAGATCCCGTCTCTACTAGAAATGGAAAAAATCAGCCAGACATGGCGGGGTGTGCCTGTAGTCCCAGCTCCTTGGGAGGCTGAGGCAGGAGGATCACGTGAGCCCAGGAATTTGAGGTTGCTGTGAGCTAGGCTGACACCACAGCCCTCTAGCCAGGCAACAGAGTGAGACTCTGTCTCAAAAATAAATAAATAAATAAAATAAAATGCAATGCATGTCTGTAATCCCTGTTATTAGAGAGGCTAAGGCAGGAGGATCGCTTGAGGCCAGGAGTTCAAAACCAGCCTGGGCAACACAGTGAGACCCCTGTCTCAAACAATAAAATAAAATAAAATAAAACACACCTCTGGCACAAAGCCCTGCTTGAGTCCTTCAGCAGGATACAATCCTCCCTCTCCTGCCCTGCTCCACACCTCAACCTTTCTTTGGCCCTTATATTCCTGCCCTGTATGGTGGTTGTATACTTGCCTTTCCCCCACTCAGTGTAAAACTCTGAGGAGCTGATCTCTGCATTCCCTTCTGCACTAGCACAGCATCTTGGACATTCAAAGTCCTCGTAAATAACTGCTTATAAGGACAGAAGTTTTGGAGTCAGGTAGGCCAGAGTTCAGATTCTTGCCCTGCTACTTACTCACTGTGTGCCTTTGTGCAAATTTCCAAACCACTCTAAGCCTCACTTTCTTCATGTGAAAAATAGGGTATCAAGACCTAGCTCATAGTTTTGTGATGACTGGATGGAATAATGTGTTTTATCCTACTGTCTAGCCCATAATGATGCTTGATAAATGGTAGTTAACAGAATTGGCTCTGGCCATCTGTCAAAAGGCTGGGGGATCAAAGGAATGGGTTGAAAAGGCAACTTTAATTTCAGGGAGTGAGACTGTATCTATTTACAGGATACATATGGGATTTTGCCCCCCTTCTCCTCTCTCCATTTTCTTCTCTCCTTTAATCTTTTCATTATTGCTATTATCACCACCACTACTCCTGGATCTGGAAAACAGCATTACATACAGTGGCTTCTCCTCCTCCCCATTTTCTTTTCTTTTCTTTTTTTTTCTTTTGAGACAGAGTCTCACTCTCTGTTACCCTGGCTAGAGTACAGTGGTTTCAGTCTAGCTCACAGCAACCTCAAACTCCGGGGCTCAAGCGATCCTCCTGCCTCAGCCTCCCGAGTAGCTGGGACTACAGACACACGCTACCATGCCCAGCTAATTTTTTCTATTTTTAGTAGAGATGGGGTCTTGCTCTTGCTCAAGCTGGTCTCAAACTCCCAAGCTCAAGCAATCCTCCTGCCTCGGCCTCCCAGAGTGCTAGGATTACAGGTGTGAGTCACTGTACCCAGCCTCCTCTTCATTTTCTGTTTCAGTTCTTTTCTTGGCCAGATTGACAGGTGAAGTCCATCAGGGAAGCATGCAGGAACAATAGTGTAATAAAGAATCTAGGTTGAGACTAGGAGTTCAAGATCAGCCTGGGCAACAGTGAGACTTCATCTCTACAAAAGATTTTTTTAAAAAATTGGCTGGGCATGGTGGCATGTGTGCCTGTAGTCCTAGCTACTCGGAAGGCTGAGGCAGGAGGATTGCTTAAGCCCAGGAGTTCAAGGTTGCAGTGAGCTATGATCATGCCACTTCACTCCAGCCTGGGTGACAGGACCCTGTCTTTAAGAATAAATAAATAAATAAGAAGAATCTGACACCATATTTGATATTTGACTTTAAGGGCTTTTAAGCCTCACCACTTCCCCTTATCTTCTGCACACCTTTGGACAAGCTGACAAAGAAAGCTCTGGTACTCTCTCCTTTGGTGCCAACAGGAGGTTCAAACCATGTAAACCCCATCCCATGTGCAAAAACCTTCACCCCATCCCTACCCTCTAACCACCATAGAAGCTGAGCCACTCTCCTTTTCCAGCTCTCAGACATTATCATACCAGCTTGAGAGCCAGCCCTGCTCTTCTCCAAAAGCCTCATTATGTGAGGAATAAACTTATTCATATAATCTTAGTGCACGTGTAGTGTCATCAATTGTGACATTAGAACCAAATTTGAGTTGGAGGGGATCCATCACATTACTGGAGGGTGGCCACAAATGGAACTGAAAATGCCAGGTCCCTTCATCATTATGGGGACCTAGACAACTGAGGCAGGGATGGATGGGAATCACCGCCTTTCTCACCCAGGCTGGGGTGCAGTGGCACCACCACAGTTCACTGCAGCCTCAAATGATCCTCCCGTTTCAGCCTCCTGAGTAGCTGGGATTACAGGTATGAGCCACCACCCAGCAAAATCACCACCTTTTCACCATTCATTTTCTCTGTTATCCCAGGTACAATTACATTTGAAGGTACTATTTTCATGGCCATATGTTATTGGATGATTCTCCTCCACTAATGTCCCAAGTTTCAAAAATTTTAAAAAGCTTTGTAATTAAAAGGTTCAGAAGTGTTGGCTTATTTTACCTTACGTTTTTTGCTCCTGAGCAACTCTTGCATCCTTTTGGGGTTTGGGAATCTTTTTTTGTCCCAGGTGAAGTACCTCTTGCCCTCAGTGTGCTCTATGTCCAACCACATGACATCATAAGGAATGTCATGTTCATCGAATCCTGCATCCACTGCTTTCACATCCTGCTCATCTTCATAATTCCAGCGGCACTGGTGGTACCCCAAGGAGAAGAGAGGGGGCATGGCTTGTGTGCCTAAAAGAGGAAGATGACAACTGAGTCAACTGTCACCATGATGATCATTATTTGTTTAATAAACATTTCCCAAATGTCTACAGGGTACTAAGCACTGACCTTGGTACTTAGGGTGTCAAGAAGAAAGTATAGGCCTTCAAGGAAGTGACAATTTGGCCAAAGAGGCCAGCATGTAAATAAATTGTTATACCTTGAGGTATAACTGCTATGTAAAAGGTATCGATTTAGTGTTATCAGAGGTTAATAAATTCTGACTGCATGAGGGTGAAATCTTGAAGGCTTCACAGAAGGGGTAACACTTGATTTGGACCTTGGAGAATAAGTAGGCATATTCCAGACAGGAAGAATAGATAGAGTGCTCCAGACACAGGGAATCGAAAAGACACAGAGGCAGAGATGTACATAACAGGCTTAGAGAAAAAGAAATTTCCAGGGTGTTACAGTGTGAGAGAGACCAGCAGAAGATGAAAGTGTAGACAGTCAGTTTGTAAAGCACCCTGTGGTTCAGGCTAGGAATTCTGAATCTTGTCTTATGAGAAGCCATCAAAAGTTTGGCAAGATGTAACCGTGGCAGACCTATGTTTTAGAAAAATTAAGTCAGGGGGCACTGACTTGAAGGCAAGAGACTGAAGTCAAGAGGAATGGTCAGGAAATTATTATCAGAATGTTTACTGATAACATGAAGGACTTCTGGTCAACCACTTGCATTTATCTCCTTCCCCTTCTAAAGTCCCACTAAAATCAGAGTTAAGAAAAGCAAAAAGGAATAAAGCCACAAAAATGAAGAGAAAGAGAGAGGAGTAATTTCAACAAAAATATGGAAGGTGGCAGGTGGGAGAAGGAGTGGTAACTATTGAGTAAAGCCAGGGATTTCAGATTTTTTTGGATTTTGGAATATTTGTATTATACTAACTTGTTGAACCTCAGTCCTTTTCTCTTAAGGCTTTTAGCTGATTAAATGAGGCCCACTTACATTATGGAGAGTGATCTGCTTTACTCAAAGTCAACTGATTTAAATCTTAATCACATCTACAAATAATTTCATAGTGACATCTAGACTGGTGTTTAATTAAATATCTGGTCACCATGGTCTAGCCAAGTTAACACACACAATTAATATCAACTGGGTCATATGGTAATTCCATGTTTAACTTTTTTAGGAATGCCAAACTGTTTCCACAGTGGCTGAACCATTTTATGTTTCTACCAGTAATGTATGAGGTTCCAATTTCTCCACATCTCAACACTTACTTCCATTTTTATGATTTAGCTATCCTAGTGGGTGTGAAGTAGCATCTCGTGGTTTTGATTTGCATTTTCTTAATGACTAATGATGTTGAGCTTGTTGTCCATTTATATATCTTCTTTGGAGAAATGTCTATTCAAGTCCTTGTCCATTTTAGAATTGGGTTGCATCTTTTTGTTGTTTTATTTTTGAAAGATTTGACAAAGTTTTTTTTCCCCATTTCCAGTCTTATAAAGTAGACATAGATTTGCTTAGGATAAAGCTGATTTTAAGAGTACACAGAAGTCAAGCACAAAGGATAGGATTAAATTTAGCAATCCGGAGTGACGAAGAGTGAAAGATGAGCAGGTGCCTTTGACAGAAAACTGATCACCCAAGGTGATTACCTAATAGTCAGAGGTTGAAGTCTTTCTACTGCAAAAGCAGGAACAGTTTACTGCTTGCTACTTAAAATGCTTGGGTAAGTTGTTTATCAATTCTACATAATGTACAAAAAATATTAACTTACAGTGCTGACACATGGGATAGAAGATATATAATGGAACTAGAAACTGGCACTTCTACATGCAAATACCTGTAAGGTGTGAGTACTGCTTGAAGATGTCAGAAGGTGTAGGTCCTGTCAGTAGAAAAACATCAATGATTCCACTCTCTGACATCCAGTGCACATGAGTTTGAGATCTGACCTTTTGCTTAGCAGCAACTGGACCCATCTGGGTTTGTGTGTACTGGAAAAGGAATGGAATGAAAATTAGAGAAATTTCCCTCTAACCTACAACCTACATCCATTCATATGTGAGTTCCTTTAGTAGCTACTACTGACATTTACTGATTACACCGCAAAGGCTTCGGTGGTAGAGAACTGCTCCTACAAAGACAAGAGCTATAATCACACTGCAGTGGTTTTGTTTCTTCTGTAAGTGTGACATGTAGCCAGGATCCACAGCTCACCTCTACTGCAGGCTCTGTATTGATCTCCACTAGTGTTTCTGAGGCATTCAGCCAGAAAATGCCTATAGTCCTGCCCAGTTTGTGGGCCAGGAGGTAAGGTACTGAACCATAAATGCCCATTTTGTCATGTATTTTATATCCATAGACATCCAGGTTATAAAGACGGTAAGCATCTCCATCACTGAAACACAAATAAGGGTTATCATTAATTACTATCACAAATATATTATTAATAAGGACAGGCACGGTGGCTCACGCCTGTAATCCTAGCTCTCTGGGAGGCTGAGGCGGGTGGATTGTTTGAGCTCAGGAGTTTGAGACCAGCCTGAGCAAGAGCGAGACCCCGTCTCTACTAAAAATAGAAAGAAATTGGCTGGACAACTAAAAATATATAGAAAAAATTAGCCGGGCATGGTGGCGCATACCTGTAGTCCTAGCTACTCAGGGGGCTGAGGGAGAAAGATTGCTTGAGCCCAGGAGTTTGAGGTTGTTGTGAGCTAGGCTGAGGCCATGGCACTCTGGCCTGGGCAACAGAGTGAGACTGTGTCTCAAAAAAAAAAACAAACAACAAATCTATTATGAATAGAATAGCTTCACTCTCCCCTGAAAACTCTTAGGTCCCATGCATCTTTCAAAGCACAACTCTTGCCACTTCCATAAAGATTTCTTGACCCAATCTGGGTGAATGTGATTCTACTCCTTTGATTCCTGTGGCACTCCTTCCTGAGACAATTGGCACACATGACCTCATCTTAGGTATCTTTTTTCCTAAATATCTCTTGTGTGGGGAGGACTGTCTCCTGTGAATACTCTACAATAGCAAGCACACAGTAAATATCTATTGATGAATTTTTTGAGCACTTCTCTACAGCTAAAATGAAAGGATAGTGTCCTAATAGACTTCCACAGTGCTTAATAGGGAAAGACCAGGAACTGAACTGCGGGTGGCGAGCACAGAGTTCAGGCTGGTGTGAGAGTAGCACAGTTTCTGACAGACTTGTCACTATGCCTAACTGTCAAGTAAACAGCACCTGAACCTGGCAACCTTCATTAGACTCTATTTTTCTTTGGTTTTGTCTCCTTTTAGTCTGATGCCTCTGGCAACTACTTGTCAATAGTATTAGCCTAAAATGATCTTCCTGAGGGAATCAAAAGTGATATGAGATGCCACACTTTTCTGTTCTCTGGCTCGCTGTCCCCTTTCAATAAAAGCCTTTTTCTAGGTCAGTGATTTTTCACAGTATATTCTTCCAGGGTTCTGCAAAAAAGGTGAAAGCAAAACCCAGTGATAAAGATCTCTCTCCCCTACTTTGATCACAGAAGCTCTGTATTTTTATTTCATCTATATTTTTAGGTTCAATATTACAGTTTGTATAATTGTCTAATTTTAACCAAAAAATAAAAATAAAAATTGAAAGCCACTGCTCTGGGTGATCTTCAAGGAAGGTTCTTAAAGATCCACAAGCAATATTAAGGAGGAAAGGAAAAGGTTTGGCACACATTAGCATTGGCTCAGACATCTCACAAAAGTTCCTTTCAAATCTTTTCAATCCAGAAACTAGAGCCTCCTGTAAAAATTCTTGTTTTCACTTACCCGGTATTTTTAAGTTGGTGTGATTCTGCATGTTGTGGGATCCCATATAGATGCTCAAATCCATGCAAGGAGAAATCCAAACCAATGGAGGCTGGACCTGCAGAGACCAGGATACTGACTGAATTTTGCTTCTCAATGGGATAATTAATTAAGGTGATCAGTTAACTATGAGTGTAGCAAGATGACTAAACTAGGAGTTGAGAGACCTGAGCTTGCTCTGATCAGCAAATGCTGTGTACTGACTCTGTAAGATGGTATATTCAGGTGTTGTGAGGATACAAAAATGTATAAGGCAAAGTTCTGTTCAGTTATTAGTTATGTGGCCTTATTGTATGCTGAAGCTCTCTGTGTCCTCATTTATAGTAAATCTCTTTTCTACCTATAAAATATGGTTACAAGTGTTAGAATTTTCCCTAATCAAAACATTGCTTAGCACTCTGGGAGGCCGAGGCGGGCGGATTGTTTGAGCTCAGGAGTTCGAAATCAGCCTGAGCAAGAGCAAGACCCCGTCTCTACTAAAAATAGAAAGAAATTAATCGGACAACTAAAAATATATAGAAAAAATTAGCCGGGCATGGTGGCGCATGCCTGTAGTCCCAGCTACTCGGGAGGCTGAGGCAGGAGGATTGCTTGAGCCCAGGAGTTTGAGGTTGCTGTGAGCTAGGCTGACGCCACAGCACTCTAGCCTGGGCAACACAGTGAGAATCTGTCTCAAAAAAAAAAAAAAAAACAACAAAACATTGCTAAAACATATTGCTATACATCTTTGCTTTAGGAAGCAAAGGATATTGAGCACTTTTAATCTGCACTAGATGAATGACTGGGTATCTCCCACCTGATCACTTCTTACTGCCAGCCTTGTCTGTGACTGTCTACAGGGAACATAATGGCAAGGGCACCAGTAGGGCCTTACTTGGATCCTCAAAATACTCCTTCCCTGTGATTGATTGTAGGTATATAAATTTCCTTTAACCAAAGACAAAGTCCTTTATTAACAATTATTTTAGAGATATGGAAAAAAATGCAAATAACTAGGAGACATAATATGGACTTAAAATTATGCTTAGGTTAATGCATTTGACATCAAATGTCCTAGTTTGTAGGAGTTTGTGGAAAAGGGCTGCTACAGAGAAGTTACAAAGATTGTGATGTTATAGAAAGGAAAGCCTGAGAACCTCCCCTACTTATAAATTCTGGGCATTCTGTCAGCCCTGATCATTATACTATGCTGTAGATATAGAATAGGGTTCTAAAGGAGTTAGAGAGAGTTTGTGATTCTACAGGGTAGGGAGAAGGAAGGAGGAAAGTGAGTGTTTCTCTAACAACATAAGCCCCAAGTATCTGAAAGGCATGTCCTAAAGAGACAAACTTGTTCTCCCCACCCTCAATCACTAAGCCCTGTGAGAAACGTCACAGATGGGCATGTGATATTCATGTGAATGATGGGGAGGCCTGGAAATGGTTGAGAACCACTGGCTTGGAATGTTGGAGCTGATGAGCTCTAGAATTTGGTTTCTCATCACTTGACTTGTACAAAAATAGAATGTGGAATTTGCAGCATCTGATCTACTGGATGGTGCAAGCAGTGTGCTGACCTAGGCCCCTCCATGAGACCACAAGGCTCCATGCAGCCTACACTTCTCTTATACTCCCCACAAAAGACATATAATTGACATTTCTCTTCGGTAATACATTATTGAAAAAGAGGGGACCCAAACCTGAGATTTCTATTCACCTTACTGAAGTCACTTCCTTTAGGTGCCAAAGATGAAGGGACTTTTAGATAGAGATATTCATCCATTTTGGAATGATCTGTTTTAATACTAATACCAGTTTCAATTTTACCATTAGCTTTGACATCCACAAAATTTCCGCATTTCTCCTCCCACAGGCCTAGATCCTCTTGATTTTCCTGTTGGTACAAAAAAGGAAGCAAACTGAGTTTATAAATTGCAACAAATGTGGTTACCATAATAGCTCATTTTATTTGGATTATCAAAAAACAAAACAGAAAATAAGTTTATCTTTTAGAAAACTAGTTTGTGATGTTAGCACATTTAACAAATCAAATCTGTGTTCTACATAAATGTCAATAATCATCCTTGTGAACCACAGCTGACATGAGTATACATATTTATTGTGGTTATGTTATTATGTTTATATATACACAGCATAAAAGCTATCATTTTAAGCATTTTCAAGTACACAGTTCAGTCGCATTAAGTACATTCACACTGTTGTGCAACCATAATCACCCACCTCTAGAAGTTTATCATCTTCCCAAACTGAATCTCCGTACCCATTAAACAATAGCTCCTCATTTTCCTCCTTCCCCACCCATGACAACACCCTCTATGAATTTGACTATGAATTTTACACATAAGTAGAATCATGTAGTATTTTTCCTTTTGTGATTGCCTTATTTAACTTAGGATAACGTCTCAAGTTTCATCCATTTTGTAGCATGTATCAGAATTTCCTTCCCTTTTAAGGCTGAATAATATTCCATTGTGTGTGTGTGTGTGTGTGTGTGTGTGTGTGTGTAGGGTTCTAAAGGTGTGTGTGTGTGTGTACACGCATGTGTGTTTATGCATTCATCTGTCAGTGGACATGTGGGTTGCTTCCACCTTTGGCTACTGTGAACAATGCTGCTATGAACAAATATCTGAGTCCCTGCCTTCACTTTTGGGAATAAACCCAGAAGTGGAATTGCTGGATCATATTCCATTCTATGTTTAGTTTTTTGAGGAACTGCTATATTGTTTGGCATGAATATCTTTTACATGAACCAAAATGATGTGAAAGCACTTTGAAAAAATGCAGTCTTTAGAAATGTAAGAATTAAAAAAAATTTTTTCTTGTAAATATGTCAGGCAAAACGTTTAGAATCAAATAACTTAGGTCTACTTTGAAAGACCCTAAGCAGAGATTTGTTTTTGCTAAGACAAGCCCTTTCCCTCCTGTTTCAGTTAGCCAACTACTGGCTATATTCTTTTGCTAGTTTGAGAAGTCAAGTCAACTGGCATGGCAATAGCTGCTCAGATCCATAATCTTTTAATCTAGAGCTATAAACTTTCTCAGCTCTACGAAAGTCTTCTTTCCCCAGTAGAATGAAAATTAAAAAAAAAAATTGTGTGTGAAATGCATATTTCTTTAAAATGAGCTCTTTGCCCATTTCTAGGTTGTTTTTTCATAACTAAAGCTTTTGTAAAGTGAGCCTGCACATTTTTTTTCACAACTGAATGCTTAATGCAGGGGTTATTATCCTGAGGTCCATGGATGAGCTTAAGAGTCCATTAACTCCCTCAGTTTGAAAATTTTTAGTTTTTTCACAGAGATAGTCATAGTTTTCATCAGAGTCTTGCAAAGGGGTCTGTGACTCAAAACCACTACCTAAGCTATATAATTAGCCATCTCCCAAAAGCTAATTTGACATACTGTCACCAAACTATGTAAGGTTAGGCCTTAGTCACCCTTATCATTTCTATTTGGAAATGGAAAAATTATTCTCTCTTATGCTTATCAATATGAGTCCATTCTCAAGAGGAAGAAGCATTTGTCTTCACTGCACTGAAAATATTTTGCAGGATTTCAAGTGGCCATAACCACTGTCAGGGCTCCTTTGAAGATACATGTGGCTCTGGATGAAGACTTCTGGGGTGTCCATACTTCATAATTTGGTAATCTTTTTTTTTTTTTTTTTTTTGAGACAGAGTCTCACTCTGTTGCCCGGGCTAGAGTGCCATGGCGTCAGCCTAGCTCACAGCAACCTCAAACTCCTGGGCTCAAGCGATCCTACTGCCTCAGCCTCCCAAGTAGCTGGGACAACAGGCATGTGCCACTATACCTGGCTAATTTTTTATATATATATATTTTTAGTTGTCCAGATAATTCCTTTCTATTTTTAGTAGAGACAGGGTCTTGCTCTTGCTCAAGCTGGTCTCGAAATCCTGAACTCAAGTGATCCACCTGCCTCGGCCTCCCAGAGTGCTAGGATTACAGGCCAAAGTAATCTTTTAAAAGCAGAAATAGTACCATGTATTTCTGTTGCTTAGAACCTTTCCATTGTTTTCCTTTGCTCTTAGGATAGACTCAGAAGAGTTAACATGCCTTAGAAGAAGGTAAATGGGAGGTAAATGATAAATGGGAGACTCGGATTTGTTCAATGATTTGTTCAATGAAGATGAAAGTTCACCAAATCTTGAACAGTGCCTGGCATATAGGAAGTACTCAACAAGTATTTATTGAATAAAAGAATTATTGTCTCTCTACAGAACTGCCCCTACCTGTCTCTCTAGCCTTGTTACACACCAACCACCCTTTCCTTTGCTTTCCTTTCTCTAGTTAAAAGAAATACATACTGTATATATATTTCATTTATGCAAATGTGTTCTTTTCTACCTCAAGATCTTTGAATATGCAGTCCCCTTTATCTGGAATATTCTTTTCCCAGCTTTTTGACTAGCTAATGCATAGTAATGCATAGTTTTAGCTTTAATATTATTTCCTTCAGAAAGTCTGTCCTGATCCTCATTTTGGTCAGGTTCTTTGTTGTGTTCTCCTGTGGTACCCTTTTTAACACTCTTCAGTGTCTATTTTTCCTAATAGGTTCTAAGTTCCATGAGAACAGATTTGGGATTTGTTTTATTCAAGGCTGATTCTTCTTGTCTAGAATAATGCCTGGCAAAAACCAGTAGCCTGGGAAGTATCTGTTTTTATGAAAGAATGAATGAATAGATGAATGAAAAAATGAAAGAATCAATGAGATAAGGTGAGCAAAAGAAACAAGTGGTCTCATTTATATGTAGTAGATCATTTAACAAGTACTCTCTGTAGAGGGAAGGAACAGAATTCCTTATATGCCCCATAATTATGACGATGGTGAGGAAGACAAAAATAAATCGCTGAATCTAGATTACCTGAGAGGTGTCAATCGATGCATCCTCCTCATTTTCTTTAGTAGCGCTGTTATAATATAAATAAAGTTATTTCACTCAATGTAAGACTGATACAATTTTGTTCAATCATAAAGATTTTCACTTCCAACTTTTGAGACCCCATCAGTTATATCCTTTAACTTATTAAATATAACATCAGTATAAAAAATAAAAATGAAACTTGGCTGGGCGTGGTGGCTCACGACTGTAATCCTAGCACTTTGGGAGGATAAGGCAGGAGAATGACTTAAGCTGAGGAGTTTGAGACCAACCTGAGCAAGAGTGAGACACCGTCTCTACTAAAAATTAGCTGGGCATAGTGGCACGCGCCTGTAGTCCCAGCTACTCGGCAGCCCAGGAGTTTGAGGTTGCTGTGAGCTAGGCTGATGCCATGGCACTCTAGCCCAGGCAACAGAGTAAGACTCTTCTCAAAATAAATTAAATTAAATTGAAACTTAATGATGAACATTAATCTAATAATTTTATTTCTTTTATAAAAATAAAGATGTATTTGAATTGTTAACCCTTTTAAAAATATCTTTATCAACTTTTTATTATAAATGTAATACATGCTCATAATATTTCAACAAAATGTAAGTAAACAAGGTAGAACATAGCTCCCCTCAGTGTTACCCTAGTACACAGCAACATAACGTACAGTCTTCCAGAGTGATTATGACAATTCTTCTACTCACAGTTATATGTCAGTGTTCATTTCTCCATATTCTTAACATTGGACTTTATCAGTCTTTGCCAATATAAAATTTTAGAAAAAATAAAGTATTTCCATTTGTATTTCTGCAATTGATAGAGATTATCTTTTTATACATTTAATGGTACTTCTACTTCTTCCTCTGTGAATTGTTTATTTTTACTCATATATTTATTTTTGTTTTCAGTGTAAAATACAGCATGCATATGGAAGAGTATATAATATACATGCAGAGTTTAAAGAATAACACTAACGTGAACAACTATTAACCGGCCACTGAGCTTAAGCAACAGAAATGGCTTGTCTCTTTAAAGTCTCTGTGCCCCTGTACTGAAATACATCTGCCTCCTTCTCCCATCCTTCAGAGGTAACCACTTTACTAAATTTTGTGTTAACCATTCCTTTAGCATTTTTATAGCATACCCACATATGTATGAATCTTAAATAATATATTACTTGGATTTGCTACTCCTTTTTCTTTTTTTTTTTTGTAGAGACAGAGTCTTACTCTGTTGCCCGGGCTAGAGTGCCATGGCGTCAGCCAAGCTCACAGTAACCTCAAACTCCTGGGCTCAAGCGATCCTCCTGCCTCAGCCTCCCGAGTAGCTGGGACTACAGGCATGCACCACCATGTCTGGCTAATTTTTTCTATATATTTTTAGTTGTCCACCTAATTTCTTTCTATTTTTAGTAGAGACGGGGTCTCGCTCTTGCTCAGGCTGGTCTTGAACTCCTGACCTCTAGCGATCCACCCACCCCGGCCTCCCAGAGTGCTAGGATTACAGGCGTGAGCCACTATGCCTGGCCATGTTCCTTTATAAAAATCTTTTACATAAATAAAAGTATATTGTATATATTTTTGTGACATGTTTTGTCACTCAATTTTAAATTTTTTGACATTTATTATGTTAATATGTATTGTTGCAGTTTGTATCACCCATTTTTTGCTTGTTGTTCTTTTTCTTATTGACTTGTATGAGCTCTTTCTATATTATGCATATTAAATTTTGATTCTTATATATGTTGAAAAATTTTGAGGAGGGGGAAGAAAGAAAAATTTTCTTGGTATGTTGCCTTCTATTTTTTTAAAATTTTAAACTTTATTTTTTAGAGCAGTTTTAGGTTCATAGCATAACTGAGCGGAAAGTAGAGAGTTCTCATATATCCCCTACCCCCACACATGCAAACCCACCCCACTATTGACATCCTGCATGATGTTTGTTACGTTTGATGAACCTATATTGACACTCATTATCAACCAAAGTCCATAGTTTCCACTAGGGTTCACTCTTGGTGTTATACATTCTACAGGTTTGGACAAACACATAATGATATATATCTACCACTGTAGTATCATACAGAGCAGTCCTACTACTCTAAAATTCCTCTGTCCTCTGCCTATGTAGCCGTCTCTCCCCTCAACCCCTGGCCACCACTAATCTTTTTACTGTCTCCATAGTTTTGCTTTTTCTAGAATGTCATATAGTTGGAATCATACAATATGTCCCCTTTTCAGATTGGTCACTTAGTAATATGCATTTAAGTTTCCTCCATGTTTTTTCATGGCTTGACAGCTCATTTCATTTCAGCATTGAATACTATTCCATTGTCTGGATGAATCACAGTTTATTTGTCCATTCACCTACTAATAGAAAAGACTTTTTCATCTTTGATTTTCTTAAGTTTGAATATGATATGCCTAGGTATAGGGTATTTTGGTTTTTGGTTTTTGTTTCTGTGGGGTTTTTTTGGCATTTATCCTATTTGGTGTTTTCTGAACTTCCTGGATCTGTAATTTGGTGTCTGACATTAATTTGGGAGAAATTCTGAGCATTATTGCTTCAAATATTGCTTTTGTTCCTTTCCTCTCTTTCTGGTATTCCCACTATGTGTATGGTACACCTTTTGTAGTTGTCTGCTGTTCTTGGATATTGTGTTGAGTTTTTTCCATTCTTTTTTCTCTTTGCTATTTTTAGTTTTGGAAGTTTCTACTGTCATATCCTCAACTAAAAGATCCTTTCCTAAATTATGTCCACTCTACTAATGAGCCAATGAAATGCATTCTTCATTTCTGTTACAATGTTCTTGATCTCTAGCATTTCTTTTTGATACTTTCTTAGTGTTTCTATCTCTAATGCTTACATTATCCATTTGTTCTTACATAGTATCTTAAATTAAGCAGACAAGCCCTTAGTATATTAATCATAGTTTTTTAAAATTCATGGTCTGATAATTCCAACATTCCTTCCATCTCTGATTCTGGTTCTGATGCTTGCTTAGCCTCTTCAAACTGTGTTGTTCATCATTTAGTATGCCTTGTAATTTTTTGTTCAAAAGTGGACATGACGTACAAGGAGCTACTGTAAATAGGTTTTCAGTAATGTAGTGGTAAGATACAGGGGGAGAGGAAGCATTCTGTAGTTCCATGATTAGATCTTAGTCTTCTGGTGAGCCTGTGACTCTGGACTAAGAACTTCACTGATGTTTCTCAGGATTCCCCCTCAACCCCCATAGGCGGGACAGGATGTCTAGATGGAGTTGGAATTGGGTATTTCCTTTCTTTCACCTGGAAGGCTACAGGGACTACAGTTGGGTATTTCCCTTTCCCCAGGATGCTTAGGCTCTGGTATAAGAGTCTGTCCTGAGGGCAGGCCTTGTTAAGAAGAACAAAATGCTCTGGTGTATTTCAAAATGGTTCCTTTCCCCCTCCCCCTCCTGAAAGAATGAGGTAGTTTTGTTTTTTGTTTTTTTTTGAAATTTTCACTGTGAGGACCTGGAAGAGCTCCTGGAGGTAAAATTCACAAAAATATGAGGGCCCCCTATAACTGGGTCCCACTCAAGTTTTTAACTCTCAGAGTTGTCTACATTGAGCCTCCAGCAATTTGTCTTTTAAGTTTAGGTTTTCCTATACTGGTACTGGTTCCCTCAGAGGGTTCTGTTCTTGGATTTCTGCCTTGGTAAGTTCGGATTCTCTGTACGTGCTTGTCTGTCTCTCTGATTTTAAGGGCAGCAGCTAGCCTTGTGAACTCAATTCTCTGTTCTTGCTTCTCTGACTCTAAGAAGAATTGTTGATTTTTCAGTTTGTTTAGCCTTTTACCTGTTGTGAGGACAAAGTGATGACTTCCAAACTCCTTACATGCCAGATGGAAAACTGGAAGCCCTTGACTTTTTATTTAGTTCAGGGGTGTGTGTGTGTGTGTGTGTGTGTCTGTGTGTGTGTGTGTGTATGATAAAGTATAAAATTTTTAAGTAATCAAATGCATCAATCTTTCCTGTATGGCCCTTCAGTTTTTGTCATACTAATATTATTATAAAAATATTATTCACTATTTTCTTCTATTTTTATGTTTTGTTATGTTTAATTTTTATTCATCTGGAATTTATTTTTCTTAATATTGTGAGGTTAGGATGTAACTTAAATTTTTTTTTCCAGTTGGATAATCCAGTTTTCCTAACACAAATATAAATATAAGTGGTAGAAATATAAACTAGAACAATCTCTATGGAAGGCAATTTGGCAACATCTATTAAAATTACAAATGCATAAACCATTTGATCAGCAACTATACTTTTATGATGCTATCCTATGGATATATTTGCATATATGCAAATGACATATATTCAAGGTTATTCATAAAGTAATTCGTTGTAAAACAAGATTAGAAACAACTTTCAAGTCCATCAATACGGAATTTATTCAATGAATCATGTTGCAATCATACTAGTATAATAGAAACGAGGGAGCTGCTTTAAAGAAATTAGGAACTATCACATTGTTAAAAAAAAAGGAAGGTGCAAAATAATGTGTAAAGGTGGCACCACTTGTGTCAGGAAAGGAAAAGATAGAATATATGAAATGTATAGGCATGACCTGTCTCTGAAAGAATCTAATCCACGAAAAACTGGAAACATTGATTACTTTCAAGGATGGGAACTGGGCAGCTAAAGGACAAAGGGTGAGGGAGACTTTTTACTATATACTCCTTTGTACCATGTGACTATTCTAAATAAATTAATTAATTAAAAAGGACGAACTTAGATATCACCTCTGAAAGAAAACAAAATAATGGGATTTATAAAATAAAAAGGTTTCAAATATAAAGAACCTGGGTACACAGGTATTTATTATGCTATTATTAGTATTTTTTTAGTAAAATAAAGTACTTAAAGAATATTCATAAGGCACTAACAAAGTAGGTGGTGGGATTATAGGTATTTTAAATTTGCTTCTTTTTAATATTTTCTTTTTTTTTTTTTTTTTGAGACAGAGTCTCACTGTGTTGCCCAAGCTAGAGTGCCGTGGCATCATCCCAGCTCACAGCAACCTCAAACTCCTGGGCTCAAGCAATCCTTCTGCCTCAGCCTCCCGAGTAGCTGGGACTACAGGCATGCCCGGCTAATTTTTTCTATATATTTTTAGTTGTTCAGATAATTTCTTTCTATTTTTTTTAGTAGAGACGGGGTCTCGCTCTTGCTCAGGCTCGAACTCCTGAGCTCAAACAATCCGCCCGCCTCGGCCTCCCAGAGAGCTAGGATTACAGGCGTGAGCCACCGCGCCTGGCTCTTTTTAATATTTTCTAACTTGCCTACGATGGACAAATATTAGTTCTGAGATAAGAAAATCAGGTATTTTTAATACTAAAATTTTAAAATAGAAACAAGTTAAAACTTAGAAAAAATCACTATATTGGAATAATGATGTTGAATGCTTTCTATATATAGACCATATAACATGTTCACTATTATGATAAAAATAGAAAGAACTATATATTGGAAGATGTCAAAACAATATTGATAAAAATATAAGAAGAATCTCCTTAGCACCACCTCCCAATTCATGTGACCTCCCCACACAAACCGCCTTGATCAAATGGATGGTCCCAGAAAATTCCTGGACAACTATTAAAGTCTAGGGTCATTCATGTTATTGTAAGGCAGTAAGTGAAATTACGAAAGCACACTAGCTCACGTTAACATTTGTCAAGTCAACAGAATGCTTTTTCAGAAGGGTGTGGAGGATAGAGAATGCCATCGCCACACATAGCAATGTTAAGAATGGAACATTTGCAAAAGTTTAGGAATCATTTTTGTCATAAACCCTATATGCACCTTCACAGCTGAAAAGATGAAATTTCTCAGAACGATTTACAGTAAATAAGGCAAACTAATGTTCTATGATGATATGTTTTCTATTTAGGCAATTGATATTCAGGTTTTCTAAAGGTCGTTATATATCAAGTAATGTGCAGAAATACCTTTGTTTGTGAGGAATCTGTAGGTGCTCAAAGTATAATTGGCCCAGGGAATTGATGCTTATCACAACCTCTTCTTCAGACACCAGGTCTACCTTGAATGGGTTTGCTGTGATATGACACTTCAGGTCTCCTTTTCCATCTGCCAATACTAGATCGCCTGCATCCCCTGAGCATGAAATCAGCCTAGAAAACAAAGCAGGAAGAGAAAAATAAATTGCTGTAGGTTTACATGGCTCTATGCGATCTGCAATTCCAAGTAATCAACTAGCAAATCAGTATTTATGTGACGTAGCATAAATAAGGCAGTAGAGAACCATTAATGAAGCACAGGCTTTGGTGTCAGACAGCTCAGATTGAGCATAACTCTGCCATATACTTTCTAATTTTGGATAACAAAGTTATCCAACCTTTGTTGCTCTCAGTTTCCTTATCTGTGAAGTGGAAATAATAAAAGCACAACAAATAGAATTTTTGGAGAGAATTAAATGAGATCATGCATGTAAAGCACTTTGCACAATGCCTGACCCATAAAAAAAACATTCAATAAATGTTAGCTATAATCATCATCATCATTACTTCAATCTGGAAAGTCTAGTAATACTTTGGTGCATTGAATCTAAACATTGTTTTTCTTTCTCATTCCAACAATATCCTCAAAAACTGTGGAAATAACACAGATTGGGTCCATGGTGGGATGGAACCAAGCCAAATTTTTATTCATCTATTTATCCCCTAAGTCCTATCAGCCTCCAATTTGACATGTTCACTGATAGGATATTTTGGATCCTCAGAAAATTACGCAAGCTCAGAACTAGCACTTAAAATCCCTCAAAGGTCTAGACATTTCCTTTTCTCCAGTGCATAGTCACTCTGATAAATGGTCACAGGCTCTTTAAGGGAGGTAAGAAGAGATAGTTTATGTTCTTATTATGTCTTTTCAGTTCTTCTCCATGATTCTAGGCCTCTCCTTCAAACAAGATGCTTGGGATCTGAAAACCAACTCCAGAGTTGGCTGAGAGGCTGTGTCTCACCGTTCATCAAACCTAGATAGAGTTATTTTGATTATTCTATCAAATAGGACTTTAGTCCATCTATTTCAGTCTAATGGACCAAACAGTAAATTGTTCACTGCCCTGAGGGTTAAAGCATTTTGAGTACTACATGGGCCCTATTGCATGTAATGGAATTATGTTTGCCTGTCTCTGACAACTAAATGTTGCTACTTTGTCTCTTCTACCTGGAGTCTTATTATCTCCTCTGAAATCCGAGAGTCCCTTTTTTTTTTTTTTTTGAGACAGAGTCTCACTCTTTTGCCCTGGCTAGAGTGAGTGCTGTGGCATTAGTCTAGCTCACAGCAACCTCAAACTCCTGGGCTCAAGCGATCGTACTGCCTCAGCCTCCCGAGTAGCTGGGACTACAGGCACACGCCACCATGCCCGGCTAATTTTTTCTATATATTTTTAGTTGTTCAGATAATTTCTTTCTATTTTTTTTAGTAGAGACGGGGTCTCGCTCTTGCTCAGGCTGGTCTCGAACTCCTGAGCTCAAACAATCCGCCCGCCTCGGCCTCCCAGAGAGCTAGTATTACAGGCGAGAGTCCCTTTTAATAGCATCATTTTCAACCATTATCTCCAGCCCACAATAGGAAGGCATTTACTACAATGCTTTCCCAGTGTTCCCTCTCTAATGTATTTCTCAATGAAGGGGGTATCTTCTGGATCCTCTTGAGGAAACAGTTAAGGCTAGATGAGCTGATTGCATATGACAAATCCACTTCAACATCTTTATCTCCCTAACTCTATGGATCGTTTCTTCTACACTGTGCCTAGGAATTTTTGGTATCTCAGCTTCATCCAGAAGAATCCGTAGCTGAGGTTCAGATTATAGCTAACCAGCTAAGCAAACAATTAGAACCACTCTCAGCTACCCAAGTTAGCATATCAAATCTATATTCTGTGGTACATGTACCTGTGTCAATAAATTTAGCGTGATCTAAAATTAAGTTCCTTTCTTCTGTTCTGGGACCCCAGAAACCATTTCCATGCATATTTCCCAGGTTCTTGCCATTATAAAATCTTAGAATTCTTTAGGCATGCATACCTTCTCCTCCTGGTTTTGACTGTAATTGGCTCTCTGGGCATGTTGGGATCTGACTCTGAGAGTGGGCCTGGAGGCAGTGAAGGATGGTAGGGATGAGGCAGAAGGAGCATTGGAATCCCTTTGTAGGTATCTCTTAGGTGAGGTCAACACATGGTACCCAAGCAAGGCAAGATCAGCTTCAACCTGCTTTTATGGGAGGAGCTGCTTCTGCTGGAATGGGAGGCTCAGTGAAATGTTGAGATTTGAGCATTTAGAATTACCCAAATCTTCCCAAATGTTGCTATTCAATTTTGAGGAGTCACAGACCTGATGAGGCTGTGAATTCAATTTATGGTCTAATTCAGCATACTGCAGTATCAAACTCTTTATCTTATTTTCAGCTACAAGTACCCTGAAGCTACAAGAGATATGAGAGTCTCTTAGGATTGTCATAGAAATGTATTGGTTTTCTTTTTTTTTGTTTGTTTTTGAGACAGAGTCTCACTCTGTTGCCTAGGCTAGAGTGCCGTGGCATCAGCCTAGCTCACAGCAACCTCAAACTCCTGGGCTTAAGTGATCCTCCTGCCTCAATCTCCCGAGTAGCTGGGACTATAGGCACACACCACCATGCCCGGCTAATTTTTTCTATTTTTAGTAGAGATGGGGTCTCACTCTTGCTCAGGCTGGTCTCGAACTCCTGAGCTCAAGCGATCCTCCTGCCTTGGTCTCCCAGAGTGCTAGGATTACAGGCATGAGCCACCATGGCTGGCCCTTATTGGTTTTCTGACAATACCTTGAGCTAAGAATTTAAAGCCCTGAAACTATTGTTTTCTTTCAGCTCTTCAGTGAAGCTAATAGCAGCTAGGCTACCTCAGAGTTTTGAATTATGCATGACAATCATAACGTGGTATGGCTCTACCACTTGGTCTGCTTTCAATAAGCACTTTATTTTTAGTTAACCACTGGTACTAATTTAAGTAACTCTGCCATGGAACGTCATGGTCTATTACCAGTTGTATTAGTATGGTAGAGCTATCAAAACAAAATACCACAGACTAGGTGACTTAAACATCAGAAGTTTATTTCCCCACAATTCTGGAGGCTAGAAGTCTGAGATGAAGGTGTGTTGGCAGGTTTGTTTCTTGTGAGTCCTATCTCCTTGGCTTGCAGATGGCTGCCTTCTCGCTGTGTCCTCAACGGAGTTGTCTCTCTGTCTATGTGTGTGTACCCTAATCTCCTCTTCTTATAAGGACACCAGTCATGATGGATTAGAGCCTACTCTAATGACCCCATTTTAGCTTAATTACTTCTTTAAAGGCCCTGTTTCTCTATCTCTAAATATAGTCAAATTCTAAGGTATTGGGGATTAGGGCTTCAACATATGAATTTTGGGAGGACACAATACAAGTCAGCCTATAACACTAGTATCCCATTCTCTTTTGGTAACTAGGTTCTCATTGCCTTTAAATCCAGCTAGGTCAGCCAGCCAGTCTCATATTCCCATCCTTGAGGGGTTCTTGCTTACACTCACTTCTGACACCAACTACTGTATCAACCAGAGCTCGATTGTAGATAACAGAAACAACTCTGGCTATTTTAAGCAGAAAGCAAATTCCTTAATATACAGAATTAGTTGCTTACAACATCATGGGAAGGGTTGAGGTAGTAGGTTCTAGGCTGGGTGTCCAGTAATGACCCCTAGAACAATACTGGATAATTGTATGGCCAGTGGACCTTCTAGCTCAGCCAGGATCAGGAAGGGTAATCAGAAGTCACAGTAGCAACTGCTGGGCTTTAGGATCATGCCACCTTAGCTGTAATCCAGAGACCAGGAAACTGTGGTCCTAATTAATGGCCTTAGAGCTACTCTATAGCTGCCAAATCCACAGAAGCACAATGGGGATCTCAATTCTGAAATCAAGATTTCTATAAGTGCATCTGATTTGTGGAAACTGAATTACATCAGAAATTTTAGCTACAAGGGAGTCAGGGAAATGGAGAAATAGAGTTTTTAGCTTTCTAGTTACTGTAGTAGCCAAAGGCCCTCTAGAAAGAAGTTGGAACAGAAGCAGAACTAATATACCATATTTACAATACAAAGCTAATATCACTCTGACCCTAAAACATGGCAAAGAAAGCACAGAAAAAGAAAATTACAGACTAATTGTACTTACGAACACAGATGTAAAAATGTTGAAGGATCTACTAGCCAAGTGAATCTTCCAGGATAATAAGAAATAATACATTGTGACTAAGTGGTTATATATATGCATTGATACAATTGTCAAACTGCAAAAGCCTTGAGAATAGTCTCTTTAATTCCTGTTTCCTAAGTTCTTAATTTTTTTCTTTTTTCTTTTTTTGTAGAGACAGGGTCTCACTCTGTTGCCCAGGCTGGAGGATAGTGGCATCATCATAGCTTACTGTAACCTGGAACTCCTGGGCTTAAGTGATCTGCCTCCCAAGGTGCTGGGAGCACAGGCATGTGCCACCACACCCAGCTAATGTTCCTCTTTCCCCCCTTTCTTTCTTTCTTCTGCTTCTCTCTCTTTCTTTCTTTTTTAGAGATGGGGTCTTGCTATGTTGCCCAGGCTGGTTTTGAACTCCTAGGCTCCACTGATCCTCCTGCCTCAGCCTCCTGAATCACTGGGATTACAGGATAAGCCACTGTGCCCAGCTTAATATAATGAAAATTAAAGCATCTGGACCTGTGTGGTGACTCATGCTTATAATTCCAATGCTTTGGGAGGCCAAGATGGGAGGATTAGTTGAGGCCAAGAGTTTGAGATCAGCCTGGGCAATATAGCAACACCCATGTCTCTATAAAAAATACAAATAAAAAAAATTAGCTGGGGGTGGTAGCACACACCTATAGTCCTATTGCTTGAGCCTAGGAATTCAAGACTGCAGTGAGCTATTATAATGCCACTGTAATCCAGCCTGGGTGACAGAGTGAGACCCTATCTCTAAAAATCAAAAATAGGCCAGGCGCAGTGGCTCACGCTTATAATCCCAGCGCCCTGGGAGGCCAAGGTGGGTGGATGGTTTCAGCTCAGGAGATCGAGACCAGCCTGAGCAAGAGCGAGATCCCGTCTCTACCAAAAAGAGAAAGAAATTAGCTGGACAACTAAAAATATATAGAAAAAATTAGCCAGGCATGGTGGCACACGCCTGTAGTCCCAGCTACTCGGGAGACTGAGGCAGTACGATTGCTTGAGCCCAGGAGTTTGAGGTTGCTGTGAGCTAAGCTGATGCCACGGCACTCTAGCCTGGGCAACAGAGTGAGACTCTGTCTCAAAAATAAATAAATAAATAAATAAAATAAAAAAATATAAAAATCAAAAATAAATAAATGAATAAAAAATTAAAAAGTAAAGCATCTGGCACAATCTTATATTCCCTTAGTGAAATAATATGAAAAAATAACAGAAACCAACAGGCAAAACTGAGTTGAAATATCACTGGAAAGTATGATAGCTGAAAAAGATTTTTGTAGGCACTTGAAAAATGCTTTAGTCCCCAAAGATTTTTTTTCACCTAGACACTGATTATTAATTTATTTCCGACTCTAAGTAAAATGACACGTTAGACTTCTGAGAATAAACTTAATTAAAAATGAGTCAGTCTAACTGTATAAATTACTATAAGCATGGGAGTTTGGCTAGTATATTAGATCTCTAGAGCCCTGCTGCTAATCTGAGTTAGTAAATTAAGCAGCTTTCCTTCTACTTGCTCCTGAAGTCTGGCTAAATAAACCAATTTCTTTATGATAAGGAGAGTAGGTATCAAAGTTCTGCTTCTCCCCATTATCAAGTGCTGCTGAGTCAAATAGTGGATGAAGAAAAAACAGAATATCCATAGAAAATAGATAAACTTATCCCCAAGTAACTGAATACTAACTCTGCAAATCATTGTAGCTTTGAAAAGACAAAATAGGAGGCACATACAAAACCTGCTACTCAAGTTATGATAAAAGAACATATTGAGGCTGTATCTAAGATACCTTACACCTTGGCTTACCTTACAGTGCCTGGCTTGCTTGTGAGGACATCAGGAACTTCATACCTAGGTTTCAGGGGAGTCTCTTCATTAATTTTAAGCCTGAAAATGTTTCCTTCTATACCATAAACTTCAGCCAGGAGAGGAACCTGGAAATAGAATCATGAGATTAGCTTCAACAGGTTACTCCAGTGATGGTCCATTTTACACAAATTATAATAATGAGAAAAGTATTTGTGTAAATTATGATAGGCAAAACAAATTGGATAACAATGTTAATAGTAAAAAGAAAAAGCTCCCCGATCTATGTATTAACATGTACTTGCTCAGCTATACCTGTGGTAGCAACAACAAATACCTTTTATGTGTTCTTTGGCTAGGTAAACAAACATATAATTGTCTAAACCAGGATCTTTAGAGTGAAAGGAGTCTCTATTAATAATTACACTGGATGACAGGCATAAACTGAAACTGGCCTTGGAAAATTGGGACATATGGCTACTGTATCTATGATAAACTAGAGATATGTTAAGAATAAGAGTTTGGGTGTTAAAACCAGAGTAACTAGATTCCAGCTGAATGAAGAAAGATCAAGGGTAGTAGGCTACAGAAGAGAAAAGAATTGAGAGTAAAACGATAATCATCGGAGTTCTTTCATGGTGAATGAAATGAGACTTGCTGCACTAATATCAAGCTGGGATTGATTCTTCTACAGCTGGTAACAAGGCGTAGGGGAACTTTTTCAAGAGGCTTGGGAATTTACATAAAATTCTGCCCACAATGGGAGATAGAAACAACATAGAACTATGAAGAGAATACAGAATTTGAAAAATAAAACACAAAACAACAAAACTCCAGGAGAATAGAAATGGCTGGATTCAGGCTACAAAATGAGGCATCTAGATCAGAAAAATATTTTAAGACAGTGCTTTTCAACTGGTATGCCATGCCACACTAGTCTATTGCAAATTCTTCATGAAGTGTGATGACAAATTTTGGTTATAGCTGGGCACCTGTATTGTTACTATTATGTCTGCTAAATTGAGGTAAGCTGGGTAGGTTTTGTGACATAGTGTAGAAAAGGTACAATCTGGTATAAGTAAGACATAGAAAGTATGGAGAGTAATAAGCCAGCACGAAAAATAAAAAGATGTTACTGTGATTTAGCCTCTTGGGAATATAGAGAGCAGTCAGGGCAGTTAAACAGTGACACGATACTGAAGAGTGACCAGGTAAACAGTGCTATGGCTGTGGATGCTTTTACAGATATTCTAAGACAGGGTTATGATGTAGTAATGATCATATTGTAATTCTTACTTACATGTTTAATGTTCTTTTGCTAGAGTGTCCTATATGAATTTTAACATTTGAAAATGTGTCCAAGTACAAACAAAAGCTGAAATCCTGTATATTATATATTCTCTTCCTAGTTAGACATATATTTCCACTGCTCTCTCAAATTCAATTCAGTTATCGTTTATTTGGCATCTAATATTGTGATGACTGAACTCTTGGGCAGACTGCAATTTAGAGTAGATACAAAGTTAACATAAAGCATTCCAAGATAAGTGCTGAGACAGAAGGACAAGAACAGTGCTGTGGGAGAATAAGGAAGAGGAATATTAATGACTGTAAAGTGAGGAGTTCTGTGATGTCTCCTTGAAGGAGGAAGGACTTAAGCAGGGCCTTCAGGGATTAGTAGGATTTTGGGTAGGCAAAAATGGGCAAGAACATCGTAAGCAGAGACCACATAGGTTGTCTGCCTACATATGATTAACAAATTGCATGTAGTTATGCACTCAGAGATCTTCCTATTTTTAGTAAAATAGTTTTTTCTTAAAAAAATTGTTTTAAACCAAAGACTTCTCTGTATGTTCTGTTCTTAAGGCTGCACAGCCCAGGAAAAAAAAATCTTAATTGTGTGTGAGGAGGTAGCAATAACCTTGCTTTTACCATGATGACCTTACGTATAAATAAGAGTTAAAGCTCCATTTAAATTTTAACTTACCTTAGCTAGCAAATATTTCCAATAGAGTGGCCTGTTTTAATGCCAACATCCAGATTCATCCTTATCTCTTACTATCACCAATATAGCTTTCATGGTCCAGACACAAACTTTCCTTAGACCTTAGCATACATTTGCTTCTATGATCTGGCTCATGTAGTTTTTCTCTATCAGCTTAATTTTTTTTAAAGGTCAGCAGACTCCCAGAAGTCTAGTAAGTAAAGCCATTTGGGTTGAAGACAGTGGGGAGTGGCTCACTGCCCCCACCTGAAAGTCTCCTCCCCTCCCTGTATTGAGTCCTGAGGTATCTCCATGGAAACCTAGGGGCTCTGTGGATGACAGTTTAAAAGCCACTTCCTTGCGGCTTAACTGCCAGTTCTTGCCTAATTCTTCCACCAAAACCTTGCTCTTTCAAAAAGTCTGGACATAAATTTTATATTCTTCTACCTAAAATATTAAGAATTTCTAGATGTTCCTGTTCTCATTTGCTAGGGACCTGTTTGGATATTTATAAACAAATAATATGCAAATAAACTACCAAATCTCTTCCTTCTATTAGTGGTGATTGGAAGTGACAATGAAAAAAATATTAATACATTAAGAAGATAAATTACAGAAGGTGGATTGCTTAAATTGAGAATTTGGTATTAATCCTTAGATAATATAAGTAGTTACGCTCAAATTGCTGCCAGATCGATTTATGTAAAATAAGTGAATAAACATACACCTAAACATTTTAAATGGACATTTAAAATGAGGTGAGAGAGCGTGTGTTTTGTTCCCTTAGAAATATTTAAGATGAGCTAGGGCATGGTAACACGTGGCAATCCCAGCTACGGGCTGGGGGAGGGAGCTGGGGTGGGAAGAGAGCTTGAGCCCAGGAGTTTGAAGCTGTAGTGTATGATGACTGTGCCTGGGAACAGCCGCTACACTCAAGCTCGGGCAACAAGTCAGACTCCTCTCTTAAATTTTTTTTTTTACGATGTGTAAATGTTCACTTACACAGAACTGAGATAAATCCTCAGAGAAAAGAATGTATTTTGGAAGTTCCTTTTAGTACTACAAGTCTCCACTTGGTTCTTCATATACCTTTACTCAGAAGCCCACACCTCTCACAGTTTAGGAAAGAGTATTAATTCCTTTTCCTATCTTATTTCTTCCATACTCAATAATAACAATTAAAACCTGGTAGTATTTTATCCATAAGTCTAGTTTTTTTATGGCCACATGGGCAAAAATATCAGACACTTTGTAAAGATCATGGTGGTAGAAATAGCTTTGTCTGCATATTTAAGCAGAGGATTGATCACAATTAAAAAAAACCTTTTTATTCACCCCAAACTGGGGATCACAACTAGCATAGACTGTAACAGAGTTAACAGAACAGCCCTAGAACACATATTTAAATGGTAGTGGGTGTTAAGGGAAATTATGACTCCATCAATTCCTCCTTGATGGGTTGATCTTGTTTTTCCTCTGATACCAGGTCTCTCCACTAGCATACAAAGAAGAATTAACCTAAAAACCCTAGAAAAGTGAGTAACCGTCTCTCCCAGCTGTTCATCAAGACCTCCCAGAATCTAGACAATGGTCTAAGAGTTCATTAAATTGCTGAAGGGCACTAATGGTACCTTCCACAGTTGCAGCCAATTGGTTTATTGCAAGTACTGATTCTCTACATAGAACACTGGCAACCTCACTCTGGGCATTGGCCTGTTCCCCAAGGACAATTAGCCCGTCCAGGTATGCTTCTGACTGTTTAGCCAGTTCCCAAATTAGCTGCCTGTTCCTGGCCATTTCTGCAGAAACAGTACTGGATAACAAGTGGTAGCTGTGCCTCATCTGCTGAGGAGGTGGCTGGTTGGGCAAAGCCTCATTTTTATCAGGCTTTGATGAAGAAGCAAGTGGCAACTTCATGGAGGTGCTCACAGAATATCCTTGTATCCTTGGAGAACCTGCTGGCAGTGTTGTCTCTGGTAAAACCTGGCAAACAGGCTGCAAACAAAAATAAGTACGTTGCTAAATGGTCATCCGTATCATGAGAAAGCATCAAAATTAGCAATATAAAGTAGTTTGAAGACAAAGACCTGCTTCGAGGTCTAGCAGTGCTTTTTAGCTAGACTCAAAAGACAGCATACATTTCCCTGTGGTGAGGTCATATGACCAGATCTTCTCTGTTTCTCAAGCCAGGTCAAATTTTCACTAAAGATAGAAAATTGATAATAGTAGGGGGAAAAAAATGAGTTCTAAAAAAGCAGTTAACAATTTCCTGATGACTTTCTTTTTAGATTTTCTTTTAGGAGCTTCTTTACCAAATATCTACCTGATTATTCTGTCATCATGAATAAGCATTGGGACCCTATGTGAGAAAACTTATGCATCTGAATCTGTAACCAGCCTTCTTCAAAGCCTGGATGTCCCGACCTTCTGACAGCACATAGGTCAACACTTCAGCTTGTTCTATAATATATCCATGTTCCAGAAACATCATGTTTGCTATGGACTGAACTGTGTCTCGCCAAAATTTGCGTATTGACGCTAAATGTGATGGTATTTGGAGATGGGGCCTTTGGGAGGTAATTAGGTTTAGATGAGGTCACGAGAGCAGAGTCTTCAGGTGAGATTGGGTCTTTTCTTTATAAGAAAAGACCAGAGAGGCTGCGTGTTCTCTCTCTCTTTGTCTCTTTCTCTCTCTCTCTCCCCCCCTCCTCCCTCTCCTCTCCCACTCCCACTCTCTCTCTTTCCACCATGTGAGGGGACAGCAAGAAGGCGGCCATCTACAAACCAGGAGGAGGCCCCTCACCAGACAGTGAATCTGCTGGGACCTTGATCTTGGAATTTCTAGCCTTAAGAACTGTGAAAAATAAACGTCTGTTGTTTAAGCCACCCAGTCTACTTTATTTGGTTATGGCAGCCTGAGCAGACTAAGACAATGCTGAATGAGGCTTAGTTGTACTTCCTGGTTGTTTAAGAGGCAGATTAGGGGAAGGGAATTGGGAGGATGGATTTCAAAAATTAACAACAAATCTTGACAAATCCGAAGTTACCACTTTAAGGATTTTTAAAGGTGTGGAGGCAGGCAGGCACTAAGAGTGCTGGGTTTGTCAGAATCTGCCTCATCAGTGCAATTTGAGAACTGCAGCTGTGAGCTAAATATGATCCTCTTAGACTCTGGGCTCTCTCTGAACCTGAAATAAAAAACTATCATTCTGAATCAGTGGATGTATGCAGCTTGTTTTAAATTTTTGGACCACACTCATGCCATATCCTAATGTGCAATCCCCTTGAAACACCCATCTCATCCCAGAAATAACCTTTAATCAAGGCTCTTTGATTATGCAATGAACTGGATATAAGGTACAGACAACTTTAGAGATTATGGTCCTTACCAGATTGACAGAGGGCATGAAACCTTAAGTCTCTATTAGTCCTCTCAACTCCTCATGACAAGGAAGACATTAAGATAGAGTTCAGCCCAGAATTACAGGGTGATCTTCCAAAATATACATTTGCATGCATTTGCCTGAGATCAGAGCATGCAAAGTTCCTCTGCGGCTCCGATATTTCCAATACCTGAACATGCAGTCTGTTCCAAGGGGTCCTCAAGGTTCTCAGTCTTGGGAGCTATGTTGCTGACATCCCAGATTATTTGTCCTCACTTATTGGGCTCCTCAGCTTCCTTCGGGGCCAGGTGCTGCCTTGTGCTGAGATCCTGTAGTTCTTCTGGGACTGTGGCTTCTTGTCCTTTGAAGGCATTCAGATCTGCTGGGCCCCTGGCACCTGACCTGAACAGCATTGTCCCTCACATTTTCAGGATCCAAAAAAGGAAACTAATCCATAGTAGTGTAAAAGGGTATGTGTGGGCATCCACCATTAACTAGTATCAGGCTGTGTTGAGAAATTTCATTTTGGCCCACCACTGACATTCAGGGTAATTTTGTCTCATTTACTTTGCCTCAGCACGTGTTTTCATGCCAGCGGATTGTTTAGGCGCTCAATATACTCAGCCTCCTCAAGAATGGATCGGGATTCTTGCCTTGACCATGAACAATTACAACTCTCTGGGGTTAAGCACAATGGAAACAGGAAGGAAAATGAGAAAATGACAGGAAAAATGAGACAGGAAGACTCCTGACATTTGGTGGAAGGCCTAAAGACTCCTGGAAGGCCTCTGGTGGACGCGCTGCATTTCCTGGAGCCAATTGTTTCTGCTAACCCTGAATAGAGGAGTTAGGCTGAGTGTCAGGCTGTTAGACCATATGCAAAAAGTGGGTGGCTCTCCAGGAAAGAAATTAGTGCTGCCTCATTTATTCCCATGAACAGCTATCAAACTAGGCTACAAAAGGATATATAATATGGGAGACCTCGATCAGCAGTAGAGGACCTATGACTTTGGGCGTACCATGAGCTGAGAACTCAAAGATATCAAAGATGCTAAGCAAGGGGGCAAATTCCTCCAGAAAAATGGGTGGTATAAGAATCAGCACTAGGTTTTAAAGAAAGGCTAACTGTCTCATCTGTGCAGCTAAGAGAGATGAACTAAGTATACTGCCGCCAGAACTATCATAGAAGTTATAGAAGTTGAGGATGGGGACAGGGATAGAGAACACAGAACTGTTGATGATTCTAGCCCATATTTTGAATTTGGGCAAGAAAATTATATGGTAGAGGATTCCACATCTCTGAAATGGCTAAAATCTCTACAACTTCATAACAAAGGGAGTTTTCCTCATTGTACAATTACTCCTTCTCTGGTAATAAAGTTGGGACCCCTTTCTAAATTAAAGGCCTTACAAATATTACAGAGAACCCACTGATGTTGTGGGGCAGTTTCTGTTCTGTCTGCTCTCATGAGTTTCCTTAGTACAATGCTACAGGGCAGAAGCTATGGTGGTCACAGGAGATCTCTCATAGCTTTGGAGTGAAGGTCAGCTTCCCAGACCTGGGGATTTGTTAGTGAGTTGGCAGAGTTATTATATAAGCTGTTAGGGGATCCAGACTGCATGGCCTTAACTATGTCTTTCAATTATGTCAGATTGGTCTGAGAGGCCTTAGCTACTTCAGATGCCTTTAGATAGAAGAAGTGAGTGTCAGGTTGAGAGCCTAAGGCAGTTGTGCATAGTCACACTTCCTAGCAGAGCCCATAGTGTTTTTTTATGACTGGCCCATCTGAAGTAGCATGGCAATTTGACAGGTGAGAAAAAGCACTTTAGATATATTGCTCTAATCCTTTCAGTAGGGAAGAACCAGCGGTGATTTGCCAGTGAAGGAGCTCAGGTGATGGAACATTTGTGACTTAAATTTTCAACTGCATAGTCCCTTTGCTTCTCCCCTGTTCCACCTGCATTTTGAAGTTTGGACATTCACTGAATCTGTACCTTGCTCAACTGCGCAATGTGTAATAGTGCTAGAAAGGCTAGAAAGCACAGGGGTGTTTGATGGAGTCTGACAGGAGAAAATTCTGGTTACTGTGTGACTTTGGGCAAGTGATTTTCTAGACTTCATTTTCCTTATCTGAAAATTGAGGATAATACAATGTACCTCTTAGTGCACAATGAAAATTAATTACAAGGAAATAACATTTGTAAAACATCTAGAAAAAACATCTGATACACAGGTAATCTATATGTTGATATTCATATTAATATTAAAGTGTATTAGTGTAGATGTGAAAAAGATGATGTTCCTTCTTTAACAAAGTTTATTTTTGAAGCATACACAGCTTTAATGAGGTTTTGTGGAAATTTACTTCATTCAACTAAAATAAATGCAGAAATAAATTATTCTCTGTAGAAAATACTTCTATCTCACCTTAGTTGCTTCATTGATGACTTTGAACCTGGTGCTGTCTTCGCTTGTTGTGATTGAGTCTAGTAATGCCTGATAGGTGGACTTCTTGGAGAGATACTGTTTCTGACGCCTACAGGTATGAAGTAAAAGATGCATGAGGATTATTTGTGACTGTCAGTATCCAATAGGTTATATTATCACGTGGAAGTCATTAAAATTCACTATAATATTAATTGGGCACAGACGTATTAGTACTCAAAGAGTACTCTTATTATTAGAGTGCTAATAAGATGAGTTCTAATAATACTAATGAAATTGTTCAACATAACACTGCTCAAAGGATGGCATCTTGTCTCTTTTGTTGAGAAGGTGGGGCAATTTTCATAGATGATATTTATAAGCTTGTTAATTTCCCTCCCTCTTTCCATGAAATGGACACTTTAGTAGTAACTCAATAAATTCTAGTGGAAATCCAATATAATCTAGTGGTTTAACAAGGTGACCAGGCATTCATTGAAGACTTTTCTCTAGGTACCTGTTTAGAATTAAAATGATATTCTTTTCTTCTTCCAGAACAAAGAGTGAATAAATTAGATAGTCATAATATATAATACAATTTTTCATGATTTTAGTTTCAGGATCACATAAAGACATTCAAAAATGAAGATTTTAAAGACATTGTTTTTGAGGATCTGGGGGAACTCTCATATGTGATGAGAGTACAAAATGGTATAATTCCTATGGAAGGAAATCTGGCAATATTTAACATATTTCAAATGCATAAACTCTTTGACCCAGTAATCCCACTCCCAGAAATCTATCCTATAAATATACCCACATGTGTAGGAAATGACATATGTTAACCTCTTGTGCTATTTTAGTAAGATTAAAAACAACGTGTAGGTCTAGCAGTAGGAGACAGACTGAATAAATTATAGTACATCTACCCAAATGGAATACTATACAACTATAAAAAGGGAGGACAATCTCCATTTATAGAGACAAGATGAGGAGTGAGGTAGAAGGAGAAAGGGGTAAGAATAACACTTTTCAATGTATATACCTTTTTTTTTTTTTTTTTTAACAGACAGGGTCTCCCTTTGTCACCCAGGCCAGAGTGCAGTGGCACAATCATAGCTCACCATTTTTTTTTTTTTTTTTTTAACAGACAGGGTCTCCCTTTGTCACCCAGGCCAGAGTGCAGTGGCACAATCATAGCTCACCATAACCTCAAACTCCTGGGCTTAGGTGATCTTCCTGCCTTGGTCTCCCAAAGTGCTGGGATTTCAGATGTGAGCCACTGAGCCTGGCCTCAATGTATACCTCTTTATATTATTATTATTATCATTATTTTTAAAATCACCTATCAGTTGCTTTATATTATTTTTGAGCCATGTAAAAATATTATCTATTCAAAGACATACAATTTTGGCTTTAAAAATAAAATACCTGTTTACTGAAAAATTTAGAATAGTATAGCAGTAAGCATATAAAGGTGAAAGTCTCCTATCTGATGAATTCCTTAATTATTAAATTTCCTAACTGACCCTTTCCTTAGAAAGTCTAACATTTCTCAAAAATTTAATAAGCATCAATTTTGAAATAGTCAGAAAAATTTTGATCTAGATAATATATTTACTTTCCTTACCTGTAGAAAGCAATCTTGCTGCAGTCTCTGAAAATGTTTTTATCCACAGCTTCATCTTCAACACTAAATAAGACATTTTAAGAAATTTATTTTACACAGTGTTTGTAAGTCCAATTTTTGTACCTTCAATCTTAGTGTGAACAGACAAAATAAATCTTTGGAGTCTATTCTGCAATGCAAAATTGTGTCACAGCCATAACATAGCACTATAGCACATGTGCTGCAGAACAACATTCTTTTGTAAATCACCCAGGGTAAACAACAGAACATCAAGTTCTGGGATTACTCTGAAAGCAATGGAAAAAGAGCACTGTCACTTATGAGGAAGGATTCTTTTAAAATAATGACTGAAGACTATGATTGCAACAGTAGAATCTGAAGGAGCAAAACCAAACCAAGCCAAACCACACCTCCAAACAAACAAACAAACAAACAAACCAAAACCAACTAACCAACCACAACCTACCCACCTATTTATTCAACTAAATGTTTTCGGAATATTCTTATTGGGTGCTGGGCTCTGAGGAAGATATGGACTGTGTCTAAGCTTTCTGCATACTGACAAATGTATAACAGCATATACAACAACAAATGTATAATTAGCATAAGAACAGAAACAAAAGTGATTCTAATTTTAGGTGTAAAGAAAAAAGAACAGATGTAGAAGAAAAATCTCTTGCTTTTAAAGATGAGGCTGGCAATCTAGGGGCCAATGTTTTTTAAAGCCAAGTTTTAATACATGAACAAAATGTATGTATATTGCTGCCTGAGTACTGTATGTATTTAAACTAGCCTCCATCTGATTAAAACAATTATAGGCCATAAGGAGAAAAAAATACATTGGATTTCATGCAGAGGTGTGGCTGAATACATCTGTAATCATCATGTCCATGGTTATGTAGGAAAATGTGATTGAACACAAGTTTCAAAATATTATGAAAACCCAGAGAGATACACTTGGTCACAATAAAAAAGATACACTTGGCCATAATAAAAAATTGTTTATCCTTTGTTGAACTCAGTCTTTGTCACTGTTTCCTTTAATTGGTGTGCAAAGAGTAGAGAAATTTGCAGTCTCCTCTTTCCAGCTTTGAAGAATGAGCTCTGGAAATAATATAGGAAGAGATGAGTATAGCTGAACTTGGAAAGCAACATGCTTGAAATTGATGTTAGAGTTCTGATCACAGCTTTTCCACTGCTAATGTTATTTAACCATCCTCAAAGTATTTTTCACGGGCTATTAATATCAACTAATTGCCTGCAGAATTGAGAAAAAAGTAAAAGTACACAAATACCAAACATTAAAATAAAAAGTGCAATTAAAAAAAATCAGTGAAAACTTCAAAGTCAGAAATGTTGCAAAAAAAAGAAATGTTGCTTTTAGGTACTTTCAGGTAGTATCCCTTGTCTCTGTGGGCCCGGGGTCAGTCGCTGCGGGAGCACTGGGCCTTTACCTGATTTCCTCTTTCTCAGCTGCTTCCATGGCTTCCCAGTCACTCCGACTGACTCCCCAGGTCTCAGGCCAATGCCCAGGGCGATCTCTTCAAAAAGCCGTTTGGCCAGCACGTCACCACTCTCAAGTTTCTGGGAAAAGGAGTCTCCTCCAGATCCTATGGAGTGACAGATCTTGACTCCTGCTCCTCGAATTTTTCAGGCCCAAACTTGCGTTTCTACGATGACTTACTTGGCATATTTTTCTTGATTATGGGTAGCTGATGAGGAACGTGCTTTTATTAGGAACTGTCTTAGCCGCGGTGAGGGCATGAATGCAATGAACTCCAGAGGATAAAAATCAAAAACGTGAGAGAACCAGGAAGTACCGAGACGGCCTCCTTGACTGGAGCAAAGCATCTGCAGGTTTATCTCAGAGGAGGGAGGTCACGCCGCAGATTTTGAAAACTGACCCATTCTCTCCCTATTTTTAGTTTTGAGTGGGAAGTGCCGGCCAGGTCTTTGCTGGAGGCTGATGTCTCTGGCCAGATTCTACTGCAGCATCGTACTTTTCAAGGCTAGAAAGGGACTTTGAAGTCTATTTATTATACCATCCAGTCTAGCAATCGATTGTACTCCACCACTGCCAAATTTCAGCCTTTGCTTAAATACCTCACAAACTGGAGAACTCACTACTAGACTCCATTCGGGCAGCCAGATTTATGGTTTCCCAGACTTCTGGTCCCAACGTCTGACTTTGAGTTGGAAAGGATGAAGGGCCGGGGCGAGCGGAAGATGAGAACCAAACGCCGGACGAGGTGCTTGCTTGGTCCCCAAACTCGTTAATGGCTGGGAGAGAGACGACTGAGGCCAGGGTGGCATCTGAAAGTCACCCTAACTCAGTTGAGCAGGTTACGACTAGAGGACGCCTGCGCAGTAGGTCCAGAGCCTCACTGAGCACGGACGACAGTCTGAGGGAGGGGCCTTTGGGTCGCACAGCAAACAAACCCCGCGAAGTTTCGAGGACCCGGATAATCCCGCCCCCAGAACAGAGCCGGAAGAAGGCGGGGCGAGCCGGAAGAAGGTGAAATGCTTTTAGTAGGCACTCCATGGCTGTGAAGATGGCGGCGGCTGCGTGGCTTCAGGTGTTGCCTGTCATTCTTCTACTTCTGGGGGCTCAGCCGTCCCCTTTGTCGCTTTTCGGTGCAGGACCGGCACCCGTGTCTGCTGCCGACCGGTCCAAGTGGCACATTCCGATACCGTCGGTGAGTGCTCACTTCAGTAGCGACTAAACCCGGAGGAGCGAGGGGTGGGGCTACGGTGGCCCAAGGGGTCCATGAAGGTTCCGCAAAAGTAGCTTCCAAAGGGGTGGGGTTGCCGGGATGGTCTGTGTCACCGGCCAACGGGGACCCACCTCCCTGGAGCAGAAAGCGCGCAGTGTGGGTAGGCTAGCGGGACTGTCAGGTTCACTAAAGCCACGGAAAGGAGTGGTGGAGCGGTTTCTCATCAGAAAAGTAACAGAACTTTAAGTGCCTGATTTGAGAGAGATGTAAACTTGATATATATACGGAGAGTAGTTTATCTTTCAGATTAAATTTCAGAATCCAGTGCCCCTAGGTTCAATGAGAGGGATATGTAAATAGGCTTTTTCAGTTCTTTCTTTTTTTTCCTCTGCACTTTTTTTTGTTGTTGTTTCTGGGTAATTCTACTTACAAGGTGGTTTTATTTCGTTTAAACTTTGAAACGATTAGTCTTTGCTGTGTGATTAGGAAGCATAGGGATTTAAAAAAATGTATTTTAACATGGTAATGGTTAAAATGGAAGAAGTAGTATTCTCAAATCTAATGTGGTAAGGCTAGTCTTTAATTCCACAGTAATCTAGATAGATTGACCCTTTCTACCCCTCCCCCCCTCCTTTAAACCGCATTTGAGCAAGAGATACAGTTCCGTGAGTGGGCAAAGACTAGATGGAGGGAAGAAATGCTGAAAAGCATTAGTTAGCCCTTTTAAAACTACTAATACATTGGCCTTTTTGTTTCATTTTGCTCTGGTCACTGATTGTAATGCCCAAGTCATATTTGGACTTTCATATGGCAAGCATTATAGCTTTTATTCATTTGGTGAAGATCTTTATGTTCTCAATTTTAGCTTTTTACTTGTTACTAAAATGGTTAATAGTTAAGTCTTTTTAGATTTAAAAATAAAACTGTGGTTGTCTGCTCATCGAATAGTTCATTTAAAAAAACAATTGGTTATTCTGAGCAGTGATCAGTAATGGGAATGAACTGATTAAGGGTTCTATCCTATGAAGATTTAAATTAGGTTGGGGTATTCCAGCAGCCTCCCTTCTAGAGTCTGTGCTTCATGGCCTGTGGGAAAAAAATCATGTCTCCGTGCTAAGGAGCAAAAGCCTGCGTTTAGATATGGTTAAACTTTACTAAAAGGAAGGATGTTGATGTTTTTTCTTGGTTAAGAAAACTAATTTGAACATTTTATAAATTTAGGTAGTTATATTCTGCCTTGGGAATTAAAGTGATCTAATGCTAATTATCTTTCCTTTATCTTTGCAGGGGAAAAATTATTTTAGTTTTGGAAAGATCCTCTTCAGAAATACCACTATATTCCTGAAATGTGAGTTTTTGCATTTCATAAAGTTTTTATTTGAGTTTTTAAAAGTTATAGGTAAACTTTTAAATTACCTATTTTCTGTCTCTGATGGGCTACTTGCAACCTATTTTTAAGTTCTGAAATTTAATAGTCGAGTACTATCTAGGTATAAACATATTTTAGTGTAACTAAGGTCCTTTCACTGAATAATTTTCAGAATACTTGTGTGAACTTTGTTTTTCTTTATTTTTTTAATTTTTATTTTTTGGGCATGGACAGGGCAAGGGGGGAGGAAGTGGCACCCACCCACCCCCACCCCCCTGTCAACTTTGTTTTCTTCCCTTGTTTTTCTAGTGTTCACCTTACATATATATATACACACTATATATAATATATAATACATTATATGTATACTAATATGTATTATGTATTAATATATATTCTATATATACCATATTGAGCATATATTCAGTCACATCTCAATTGAATTACATTTACAGTCATGTCCTTAGGTGATTCATCATTGTGCGAACATCATAGAATGTACTTACACAAATCTAGATGGTATAGCCTACTACACATCTAGGCTATATGGTGGTGTTGGCTGTTCCTAGGCTACAAACTGTACAGCATATTACTATACGCATTTGTATCCCAGTAGTGTTTGTGTATCTAAACATATGTAAACATAGAAAAGGTACAGTAAAAATACGGTATTAAAATCTTACGGGACCACCATTGTATATGCAGCCTGTCATTGACGGAAACATTATGCATCACATGATTGTAATTATGTTGGTTAATTGCCTGCATGGTGTTTTAATATGTTCTGAGTCATAAAGATACCACTACTTTTACTTTTGTGTGCTCGTTCGATGTTTACTGAAAATATGACCTAGGTTTGTTAGACCATTGGCTCTGAATAAATACATTCAGTAGATCTTTTATTTACAAAAGAAGTATTTTACCAACCCAGAAAGAGGAAGCTCATAAATATTGTTAGGAAATAGAGATTACGTAGAACAAAACCAGTTTGTCTAGTGGGAAAGCCACTGTATTAAAGAAAAGCTTCCTTTTAGTTCTGAAACTGGCTTTAATTTAGAGAATGATCATGGGCAGCATTATTTCAAGATCAGAAATAAAAATCCAGATCATCAATGCATGATTCTGTGCATATTCTCTCCATGAAAGTGCAAAATTTGTAAGTCACAGTTGGATGATTTCATTATTTCAATTGTTTAGTAAGTAATTGTTTTTATTTATTTATTTTTTTATTACAGCATACTATGGGGGTACAGATGTTTAGGTTACATACATTGCCCTTGCCCTTCCCCCTGTTTTTTTTTTTTTTTTTTTTGAGACAGAGTCTCACTCTGTTGCCTGGGCTAGAGTGCCTAGCCCACAGCAACTTTAAACTCCTGGGCTCAAGCAATCCTTCTGCCTCAGCCTCCCAAGTAGCTGGGACTGCAGGCGTGCACCACCATGCCCGGCTAATTTTTTCTATATATTTTTAGTTGTCCAGCTAATTTGTTTCTGTTTTTCGTAGAGATGGGGTCTTGCTCTTGCTCAGGCTGGTCTCAAACTCCTGAGTTTGAGCGATCCTCCCACCTCGGCCTCCCAGAGTGCTAGTATTATAGGCATGAGCCACCGCACCCAGCTAGTAAGTAGTTATTAATACTTACTATATTGCCAGGCACTGTTGTAGACATTAGAGAAGAGACAGGAAAATTTCCTTCCCTCATTGACCTTACATTCTAGTGGGGGTGAAGCAGCAAGTAAAATTTCTATGAAGAGTACATTATGTCCATGAAAATGTAATCTCCTGACTAATGGCTTACATTTGATTTAAATCAAATCTACTCTGACATACTGTCCTTTCCTGTGAGATTGGTTTACTAGGTAAGAGTAGCTATTAGGGATAGCAGGATTTTGTCTTTGGAATGGCCTGACAGCCTATTTACTATTTTTACTCTTTTATTAGGTACAGTCTTTTCCTCACCTGTATTTTCATCTAATAGTGTTTTGGCAAGTTAAACAAGCTACATGTTTTAAAGTGTCTGCATTCCATTGTTTTTGGAGGATTGAGGCTCCTTTAAATTTACCTTATATTTTTATTTGTTACTTCTGCGCTTTCTCATATTTACCAATTGTCTCTGATTTTATGTTTTGTGAGTATGGTATATAGCTTTCCATGGAATAGGTGGGACCATTTTCATTGTCTCTTAAAAGTCTTCCATAAAGTTTTAAATGTTGTCTTTTAACATAAACAGTAATATTTTTGCATCCAGATTTCCTTGAAAATCTCCTGTTTAGGAGATGTGTTCTTACTGGCTTTTATTATTCTTATCTCTGTATGGATTCTTCTGAATAGTTCATAGTCAGATTGTAGTATCCTTTTTGTCATTTCCAAAAATTCTATTCAACAGGTCAAATTTTTGAGTATTCTGATAGAGCCCTGTGAAAATGTGCTGATCATTTAAAAATTAGTTTGAGAAAATAGTTTAAAACAAAGAAAAAGAGAAGGTTATAAAAAGGTTGCTTCTTTTGTTATAAACCAAAGTAGATTCCTAAATGCAATCATGTTTGTTTTTGTCACATTTGCATAGAGAGTCTTTAGTACATGTTCCCTTACACAGCTGGAATCAAAGGTAAAGGGGAATACTGACTTCTGCCAGGTGAGACAGCTAATCAGACTCCTAAGTCTTCAGACTAATGCCTTGAGCCATTAAAATACTGTGTTCCAAACTATGTTTAATAAGTTATATGAAGCTTCCATGATTTCATAAGTTTCCTTGAGGACTCTCTTAAAGTGGTTTTTGAAAAAAACCTAATACTTTTATCTTTGCTTTTGCTACTTCTATCTTCCCCAGCCATATTTGCTTTTTGTTCATTGCTTTTTCTATCCAATCTTGGTATCTTTCAAGGTCTAAGCCATTAGTTATACCACCATTTAATAATCATGAATATTGCCTTGTGACATCACTGATGTTATTCTTTGTCTCTCCAACTAGAACATAGCCTTTTTAAGGGTCTTTAATAATTTGTTTTCATCCATTTCCCTCTTTGGTCTAACACTGTACCGTTGTATACTTGTGTTCTGCTCAATAAATATTAATATTTGAATGATAATGGAAGACTGGTTTTAACTTAGGACTGCTATGTCACTCTCAGGTTATTCCCAACAGAGATCCAGAAATTGAGGCGCGAAGGCATAAAAATAGATCCACAGTTTTAAAAGGTTAAAGACTGCTTAACTGCTGTTTTTTTTCTATGAACAACAATACTTTTATCTGAATATCCAGTTGTTTTTGCATATATTATTCCATTACCTTATGTTTGGAGAAGGGATGGTCTTCGAGTATGTCAGTTTAGGGCAAGAAATAAATAGGATGTAGGTTAACAGTTAAAGAAGAATGCTTTGTTTGGGAATCATCTTTTATTCACAAAGATTTCTTCTTTTATAGTTGATGGAGAACCTTGTGATCAGTCTTTGAATATAACCTGGTATCTGAAAAGTGCTGATTGTTACAATGAAATCTACAGCTTCAAGGTAAGGAACGTAAAATTACAGACTTTTCTTGTACCTTAGTGGTCATCTGGTTCTAATCTCTTAATTTCATAGAGGAGGGAATATCATGTAGCTGTGGAGGAGCAGAGCTGATGCTAGAATGCATGCTTCCCAATTTGCAAACCTACTATATCAGCAGTTCTCAAACTTTTTGGTCTCAGAACTCTTACATTCTTAAAAATTATTGTGGACTCCAGAAAGCCTTTGCTCATGTAGGTTACTATGTTGGAAATTACAACTGAGAAAATAAAAATATTAATTTAATTTAAAGTAGCAATAATAGACTCATTATATGTTAATATAAATAACATTTTTGGTGAAAAATAACTATATTCTAAGAGTAGCATTGTTTTGCATTTTTGAAAATCTCTTTAATATCTGGCATAACAGAAGATAGCTGGATATCATCTCCTTCACTCAGTCTGTTATGATATTTTGGTTGAAGTATATGTAGAAAATATGACCTCTTACAGATATATAGTAGGAAAAGAAAATGGTATTTTAATAGCCTTTTCAGATAATTGAGGATATTCTTTGATTCTATACTAAAGCTTAGTAAGTGGAGTTTCTTAAAGATAGTTGTAATGTGGAATCAAATCATATTAATGAATGTTTTTGTACTCTAATACAAAACCCACTGGTGTGTCTTGCACTTTGTATGGGTCTTTTACCCGTGCATGATTTTGTAATATTGCTCTTTGGTCATTTAGAAAATATTGGTTGACTAAATTGTGTAGATTTTCTAAATATTAACTTATTTTACATTTCACTAAAAAAGTACATTGTTAATAATCATCCCCTGGGCCCGTCTGTCTAATCAGTAGTTTCTTAAGTATTGGAAGCCATTAAGATCATGGTAGCAGATAGAAGTTCTTCAAAATTCCAGTTTTTCCTTGAAAGGTCAAATTCTGTCGTTGTCAGTGAATACTGTCAGTTGTCTTCCTTGAAGTGAGAGCTTCCATTGCCCATTTTCAGAGAAATATCTTACAGATAACCAAGTCTCAAAAACTGCAGTTTGTTAGTCTTTCTTTCAAGTAAATGTGATGTTCCATGAGAAAAGTGACTAGTTCACAAGTCAAAACAGTTGCAAAGTGCTTTATCTCAACACAGTCATTTATTGTATTTTGCATATCTTCCATTTTGTCACCAAGATTATTGAAGTCATGTACTGCAAGTTCCAGATTTAATGACAGTCATAATTTTTACTACTTTATCAAGGATATTCTTATATAAAAGTGGCATTTTTTTTTTAAGAATCAGGGTCTTGCTGTATTGCCCAGGCTAGCCTCAGACTCCTGGGCTCAGATGATCCTCCTACCTTAGCCTCCTGAGTAGCTGGGACTGTAGACATGAGCCATTGTGTTTGGCTATCTGTTTTTTTTGGTAATGTAGGATTGTGACTGTGAAGAGTATGACGACTAGTACCATTAAATGCCACTGCCTTGGTTCCTGATAAAGGGTTGCACTTTTACCCACCATTGCTTTTGTAATATCAGTGCAAGGCAAATATACTATTATTATGAAGATAGTTTTGGCCACTTAGACCTTGTGAAACAGTTTATCTACTAAGAAAATTGCCGTGGTACATGATACTTGAGCATTAAAAATATATTGCTCTGACATAGATTTTTCAGGCCTTTTGCATTCTGTTTTCCATCCTTCATTTCAGTTGGCATGATTTTTCTTAAGATTCTCCTATTCTTGAAGTTTCTTTCTTTTTTTTTTTTTTTTAAAGATACTATGTCTTGCCCTGTTGCCCAGATGCAGAGTATAGTAGCTCCGATCATACCTCACTGTAACCTCAAATTCCTGGGCAAAAGCAATCCTCCTGCCTAAGGCTCCTGAGTAGCTGTGACTATAGGTGCATGCCACCATGCCCAACTAATTTTTACATTTTTTGTGGAGGTGAGGTGTCGCTCTGTTACCCAGGCTGATCTTGAACTCCTCGGCTCAAGTGATCCTCCCACCTCAGCCTCTCAAAGTGCTGGGATTATAGGCATGAGCCACTGTGCCCACCCTTGAAGTTTGTTTACAAAGATAATCTCACTGACCTTTAGAAAACATCCGTTGTCCAGTCAGTTTTTCAGAACTAAAGCATTTGAATTTCTGCTTAGTATTAAGTTTTTACATGATCTTTTTTGCACTGTTGGTGATTGTTTTTGCTTTTGTTATATAACATTGGGTAGGGTAGGATTGACATGATGGGGGAACTGAAAAGACCAGAGCATTTGGAGAGAAATAATAACATCTCCAGAATATGGTCTGAAATATCATTGATCTTTTTTTTCTCAATCACTTACTGAATTTGCAGGAAAAGGTTTATACATTTGAAACTTGGCATAAACTGGTCAAGAGCTTAGGAGATGTTGTCTTCATAGGTGGTGCAAGTTAAGAATGTAGAAATTATTTTGGATTGCCACAGGATAAAAGTATGGAGGTGACAAGCAGATGGTTGGAGATGTGGAGCTTAGAAAAAAGGGCAAGATTAGAGATATGGGTATGGGAGAGAAATCACAGAACTGATAGGTGAAGCCACAGAAATGATTTTTTTTTGAGTATCAGCAGTGGGCTGCAAATGGCTATAGCAGTTTTGTGCTGTGTCTTAGCTTATGAGGACGAGTAAATCTTTTTGTTGATATTATTAATTTGGTCAAGTAACTCTTTTAAATATATTTGCATGTGACAAAACCCTTTGGACTCTGGCAGTTTCCCAGCCTTCCCAAAATTGTTAGAGGAACTACTCTTTGTGAGCCAAAGACTAAAATTCTACATTTTAGAGTCTAATAATGTTAGATTCTTGGACACTGTTTATATAAAGTGTTTATTTGATGCATGTTACAAACTCAAAATTATATTTGTACTACAGAAGATCTTTTTTTTTTTTTTTTTTTTTTT